AAACTTATTATTATTCTTTCGAAAGATACTTTTTCGCTGCGTGGGAGAAATTAGACATTAATTATAAAAAAATTAGAAATTAGATAATAGTATACTAATTGCTGAAAATCCTGAGCTAAAAAATAATTAATTTATCATCTAGGCTTACGTACTACGTCTCTTTGTCTTTTAGCAAACATTCTACTCGATTTTTCTCTTTCAAAACCAATGAGTCTCTATCGAGACTTTTTTTGTATCAATTTAAATTGATTAAATATTTAATTAATAATTATTTAAAAATATAAAGCAAACCCTTGGACGTTCCTTCTTACAAACGAATATTTTAATTATTGTAATAAAATCATACACAGTTTCGTTTGTAATCCAGAGACTATCCATCGCGAATGTCTTCTTACTCGTTCCTTATTAGAACTTATAAATATCGATTCTTTACTTATTTCCGCGCGAGTAAAATATTTAAAAATGTATTAAAATATTCAAAATCTCAAATAATTATAAACGCGTTTGAGCAAGAAGACTCTATCCTGATCTAATAAATAAATGAAAAAATAAGAAACCATTCACGAGTAAATCTCCGAAGAAATTTACTCGTGGTCACTCAATGCTCTTCTACTAATTAATTACAACCAATCACCCGTGCCGATTTGGACCTCTCGTCCTCGACATGATTAAGTGATTGGAGGGACTTAAAAATTCACTCACTACTTAAGAAGTTCTGCGATGGCTCCAAAACACTCGTTCAGATCGAAATTGAGAGCGGACGATTCGTATGTGGTTGAAAATTAGGTAGGTCGACATCGAAGTTGATCAAGAATTTCTTCAATGATGCACTGACTCTATATCGCGATAGTTATTTTTTAACGAACGGTCACTGAATTTACTTCGCGAAACTCTACTGTCTTTTATAAATACAGCCTATGCGACTGTTAAAAAATTAATAAAGTTTGCGAACAAACACTGACTCTAACGACTGCATTGCACGCAGACGTTGCAAAAATTTTTGCATTTTAAATCGCGAAACGCGAACGAACGAACACTGCTTCTACTTCGCGATATTCATATTTAACAGATACAAATATTCGATTACAACATTGGTTCCCGAGCAATCGCAATGACTTTCTGAAACAACAAAATAAAAACAAAATTATTAATATCACCGTTAAAACAAGAAACTGTATAAAATATTGAAGAAACGTAAAATATAAAAATATATTTACCTTAATATTCGTAGATACTTACAGCGAAGACATCCTGAGACACTTGAGATGTCTATTCGTCAAAACAAAAAAGAGAAATGAATCGGTAATCGCGATTTAGAATTTTTAATGTTTAAATAAATGAACTATTCTTTAAATATTACTTTATTCTATCCCGCGTACAACAAAAATCGTTTAAATAATTATAAAATTATCGATAATATTAATTTATAAGCTTTAGCGTTTAGAAATTAGAATCACGATGTGCTCAGGTCGAAGAGTAAGAGAAAACTAAGTCGCGAACTGTCAAAGTCATGAAAAAGTGAGTTTATGATTATATTACACGAGGCAACTGCTCCGAAATTAAAATTTTAAAGTAATAGAAGCTTATAATAAAATTATTTTAAGTCCCGCGCGCGATTCAGAATGTTTAATGTTTAAATAAATGTACAATTGTTTAAATATTACTCTATTCTATCCCGAGTACAATAAAAATCGTTTAAATAATTATAAAATTACCGACTATATTAATTTATAAGCTTTAGCGTTTAGAAAAGTGAATCTCGATGTGCTCAGGTCGGAGGGCAAGAGAAAACTAAGTCGCGAACTGTCAAAGTCGTCAAAAAGTGCGATTATGTTTATATTACACGAGGCAACTACTCCGAAATTAAAATTTTAAAGTAATAGAACTTAATATTAAAATTATTTTAAGTCCCGCGCGCGATTCAGACTTTTTGATGTTTAAATAAATGTACTATTGTTTAAATATTACTCTATTCTATCCCGCGTGCAATAAAAATAGTTTAAATAATTATAAAATTACCGACTATATTAATTTATAAGCTTTAGCGTTTAGAAAAGTGAATCTCGATGTGCTCAGGTCGGAGGGCAAGAGAAAACTAAGTCGCGAACTGTCAAAGTCGTGAAAAAGTGCGTTTATGTTTATATTACACGAGGCAATTACTCCGAAATTAAAATTTTAAAGTAATAGAACTTAATATTAAAATTATTTTAAGTCCCGCGCGCGATTCAGACTTTTTGATGTTTAAATAAATGTACTATTGTTTAAATATTACTCTATTCTATCCCGCGTGCAATAAAAATCGTTTAAATAATTATAAAATTACCGACTATATTAATTTATAAGCTTTAGCGTTTAGAAAAGTGAATCTCGATGTGCTCAGGTCGGAGGGCAAGAGAAAACTAAGTCGCGAACTGTCAAAGTCGTGAAAAAGTGCGTTTATGTTTATATTACACGAGGCAATTACTCCGAAATTAAAATTTTAAAGTAATAGAACTTAATATTAAAATTATTTTAAGTCCCGCGCGCGATTCAGACTTTTTGATGTTTAAATAAATGTACTATTGTTTAAATATTACTCTATTCTATCCCGCGTGCAATAAAAATAGTTTAAATAATTATAAAATTACCGACTATATTAATTTATAAGCTTTAGCGTTTAGAAAAGTGAATCTCGATGTGCTCAGGTCGGAGGGCAAGAGAAAACTAAGTCGCGAACTGTCAAAGTCGTGAAAAAGTGCGTTTATGTTTATATTACACGAGGCAATTACTCCGAAATTAAAATTTTAAAGTAATAGAACTTAATATTAAAATTATTTTAAGTCCCGCGCGCGATTCAGACTTTTTGATGTTTAAATAAATGTACTATTGTTTAAATATTACTCTATTCTATCCCGCGTGCAATAAAAATCGTTTAAATAATTATAAAATTACCGACTATATTAATTTATAAGCTTTAGCGTTTAGAAAAGTGAATCTCGATGTGCTCAGGTCGGAGGGCAAGAGAAAACTAAGTCGCGAACTGTCAAAGTCGTGAAAAAGTGCGTTTATGTTTATATTACACGAGGCAATTACTCCGAAATTAAAATTTTAAAGTAATAGAAGTTTATATTAAAATTATTTTAAGTCCCGCGCGCGTTTCTGACCTTTTGATGTTTAAGTAAATGTACTATTTTTTAAATATTACTCTATTGTATCCCGCGTGCAATAAAAATCGTTTAAATAATTATAAAATTACCGACTATATTAATTTATAAGCTTTAGCGTTTAGAAATTAGAATCACGGTGTGCACAGGTCGGAGAGTAAGAGCAAACTAAGTCGCGAACTGTCAAAGTCGTGAAAAAGTGCGTTTATGTTTATATTACACGAGGCAATTACTCCGAAATTAAAAATTTTAAGTAATAGAAGTTTATATTAAAATTATTTTAAGTCCCGCGCGCGTTTCTGACCTTTTGATGTTTAAGTAAATGTACTATTTTTTAAATATTACTCTATTGTATCCCGCGTGCAATAAAAATCGTTTAAATAATTATAAAATTACCGATTATATTAATTTATAAGCTTTAGCGTTTAGAAAAGTGAATCTCGATGTGCTCAGGTCGGAGGGCAAGAGAAAACTAAGTCGCGAACTGTCAAAGTCGTGAAAAAGTGCGTTTATGTTTATATTACACGAGGCAACTACTCCGAAATTAAAATTTTAAAGTAATAGAAGTTTATATTAATATTATTTTAAGACCCGCGCGCGTTTCTGACTTTTTGATGTTTAAGTAAATGTACTATTGTTTAAATATTACTCTATTCTATCCCGTGTGCAATAAAAATAGTTTAAATAATTATAAAATTACCGACTATATTAATTTATAAGCTTTAGCGTTTAGAAATTAGAATCACGGTGTGCACAGGTCGGAGAGTAAGAGCAAACTAAGTCGCGAACTGTCAAAGTCGTGAAAAAGTGCGTTTATGTTTATATTACACGAGGCAATTACTCCGAAATTAGAATTTTAAAGTAATAGAAGTTTATATTTTTTAGATAATGATCGTATTTGTAAGATAATTAAATGTAGCCGTACGGAGAGAGTGCATTTCAACGTTAACTCTTCGGCGTACGAAAAGATACTGACGTGGTAACTCCCATTGTCCTTCCAAAGGTCCTTGTTGAGATTAAACGATCGACGCACCCTGAAAGAAAACTATTCCAAATCGAACGCGTTATAAAAAGAGCATATAATATTATATTGAAAATTTTCCACTATTTAAATATTCATTTACATTTCTTTTTACAATATTTATGTTTCGAGCTACGTAATGTTTAAATTTTAGTTAGTTATAATCCGCTTATGTTTCAAATTGTTTAAAAAATTCTAAAATTATTGAAATAATAATTTATTTAAGTTTAAGCAGGGAAAAAGAAAATTTCGATGGTTATCCTTGTGAAGCGAAAAATTACAAAGTCGCTTAATAAGCCACGTTAAGAGAAAGAAAAAGAGAAGAGTGTACGTAAAATTATCTATACGTATTGAAGCATCTAAATGTATTGTAACATTGAAATAATTTAATATGTTTGATATTAAAATAACATCTAAACTAAGCATCCAATTATACTTTACATCATTTGAAAATAAATCATTAGATTTATCCTCGGTAATTATAAAATTAGAATAAACGAATGTTTATCATATGTTTCAACTAATCTATAAATTTTTATTTATTTTACAGATATCAGAGTCAAGAAACAGGCTAAATGTATAAACACTTTGAAATACTAAAAGCGCCGATACTTGGAAAAATTCCAAGATCTAGACTTGAACTACCAGTATATAAAATTTGTTAAACACGAAGAAGTCAACACTTAGAAAACAAATATATAAAATTTCAAGAACATTTCGTGAAATAATTGAAGATTCTACGACCAAAATTAAACATAATTTAAGTTTGTGCTTCCTTTTCTTTCGTAGATTTTCATTTTTCGTAGATTTCACGTGTTATATAGAAGAAGCACCAATTTTATCGGCCATCATAATAATAATGTATTTCATTATATATCTTATATTTATAATAATTGGTATTTATTTTGTACTAGTTACATTTAACATTATCAGCTAAGCCAAATTATTGCCACCTTCTGTCTTTTGTTCACTTAATAATGTATGATATGGTCCTTGTTTCTTAATCAATTGTGAATGTGTACCCATCTAAAAAAAATTTAATTGAGATACATATATAGTACATGTGGCACATTTGAATTACATAAAATGTAGTTGTAGTGGTGGTTTTTAAAGGAAATATTCTTCGATGTACTATGCACATCTACAGAAAACTTACCTCTTTTATATTTTGATTTAAAGAAAATGTATGGGTGTGTGTGTGTGTGTGTGTGTGTGTGCGTGTATATACCAATCAAGCATATAAAATATTTTTTATTTCATTTTCAAACATACCTCTACGATAACACCATGTTGCAATACGACAATAATATCAGCAGATTTAATAGTACTTAGCCTATGAGCAATAATTAGCACTGTTCTACCTCTGGTTACATTTTCTAACGCTTCCTGAACCATTCTTTCGCTTTCATAATCCAATGCGCTATATTAAAAAAGATAAAATTCATATAGAATACAAGATAAGATACGTGAAACAAATTATTGACATTTAATCTCTTTAAACCTCGTTGCTTCGTCCAATATTAAAATCGATGGTTGTTTTAGTAATGCTCTAGCAATGGCGATACGCTGTTTTTGTCCACCAGATAATTGTGCACCTCTCTCGCCAACTTGGGTTTCATAACCATTTGGAAATTTTGTAATGAATTCATGAGCATTAGCTTGTTTCGCCGCTTTCACGATCTGATGTACATTAAATGATGCATAATATAAAATGAAATACTTGGAAAAAATATTAAAATCATTATTTATATATTATTATTCACCTCCTCGTCGGTCGCATCTTGCTTTCCATATCTAATATTCTCCATTATACTAGTTGCAAAAAGTACGGGTTCTTGATTTATATATCCTAATATAGTGCCTCTAAGATAGCTAGAATTAAGAGATCTAATGTCCTTTTTATCAATAGAAATGCTACCCTCATCGACATCATAAAATCTGTGTAAAAACTCAATAAATTATTATATAATATACGCATAATACAAATTTAATATTTCATCATATTAGATTTTATAATATAATACAAATTAAATATCATACCGTTCTAATAACGCGGCTATGGTTGATTTACCATTTCCACTAGTACCTACAATAGCGACTGTTTTACCGGCGGAAATATTCAAATTAAAATTCTTTAAAATAACGTGATCCGGCCGAGTTGGATAGCTAAATTTCACATTTTTAAATTCTATATTCCCTGAGAGAGAATCATTTATTGTCGTTCCTCCGACCATCATTGGCGATGGTGGCATATTTAAGTACTATAAAATAAAATTCACATACGATTATAAACAATACATATAAAATCTTGTAAGTAAAAAATAATAAAATACTTCAAAAACTCGGGCACCAGCACTGATTCCTCTAACGTATGTTCCAAACAATAAAGATAATTGAGAGAGAGATCTTTGAACTATTTGGGTTGCCATCAAAAATGCCATAAGATCGCCGGACGTTAATTGCCCAATTGACATTAAATGACCACCAAAGTATAATGTACAAAGTAAAATACCATTTAAAAACAAATTTGTTCCTGCTTGAAATAAACCAATACCAAATCCTAAATTTTCATATAACTTAGATGCATGTTCGACTTCTTTAGAAAATACATCTGCTTCTCGGGTTTCTGCTGCGAACGCTCTTACCTACAAAAAAAAAAAAAAAAAAAAAAAGAAAAAGAAAAAAAAAAAAAGAAAAAAAAAAACGATCACCATAAAAAATAACGTTAAATTGATTTTACGCATTATTTAAGTAGATTCTTAAAGTATAACGTAATCCTTAGTATATACCGTTCGTATATTTTGGATAGCTTCTTCGCAGACAGCGGTAGCTTTTGCAACTTGGTTTTGCGCTTCTATAGACAACTTACGCAAGCTTTTTCCTAATAGGGTACCAATAAATATAACCGTTGGCATACATAATAACATTGCGGCTGTCAATTGAGGCGATAACATTATTACAGAAATAACACAACCAATAATTTGCGTAGAACTTCTTAAGCCTTGCGATATACATATTTTGAATGTACTTTTGAAATCCTGAATATCACTTGTTAATCGGCTAACTATTTCACCAGTTCGATTTTTATCAAAGAATGCAACATCTTGCACAATAATAGATTTGAATACATTTTGACGTAATTTCATTGCAACTCTTTCTCCTATTTGAGAAAGTGTGTAAATATAAACAAAAGTAAAAAATGCCTGTAACATTTAAATTTTACAGTTATGATAGAAAAGAATAAAGAAGAAATTATCCTCTACCTCTATTAGAAATATATAAAATGTACATACTTGTGCAACATACATACGTGCCAATAGAAAAGTTGGTCTCAGGAGCATTTCCAAAGTATTCCTTGTAGAATCATTTCCTTTATCTTGGACTATTTTCGTCAATACATTTATGATATTGCCAACAGATTGTGGTATCCAAATATTTAACATAGCGACGATTAGAGCGCTCTACCAATAAGAAATATATTGAATTTAGTGGTACGATATGGAGTAATGGATTTAAACAGAGGCGGTAGAAATGATCGGGTCTGATTGCGTAACACAGAGCTCTAATACAACTAAATAAATTTATGTTGCGATAATAAATTTTACTTTTGATATCTGTTGACCGGTAAATAAATTTTATACCTATGTTTGTTACTACAATCCAATTTGATTAGAGTATTTTTTGCTAAATCATTTGTATAAATAGTTGAAGGAGGAAAATCGTATTGTAGAAAATTAAAATAAGGCACCAAAATAGGGCACCTTTAATATCTTAAGTAGCTTGAAGTAGGCTAAATCAGCCTACAACATTATATACTTTACATTATATACTTTTTATCAATATTTTCATACTTACTGACAAAGAAATCAATAACTGCCAAATATGTGGATACAGATACTCCAAAAAGTCTTTCCATTGAAAATGCAACCTGTCACTATTTTTTCTTACTTCATTATTTTCTTTAATTGCTTCGCATGTCACTTGTTTCACATTTATCTTGAATATATAAGTTGCACCTGTTCCTAATATTCCCCAACCAACTTTATAAATGTTTGATAGTTCCTTTTGTTTCTTCTGTTCCTGTTTAATAGATGTTTTAAACGTTGCATTAAAATCTCTCTTGAATTGAACGAGGACATTATTCTTTCCTTTGGACGGATTAATTAGAAAGACTTCTCTGGAAAAAATGACTTAAGATATTTATATTTACTATCTTTAATGATGAGCTATAAATATTAGCAATAATATACAAAAGTGATCAGTAAAAAGAAAAATGTAGTAACGCCTTTTTACTGTAAAAACTTATAATGATTTAAAGAAGAATAATTACCTTGCAGTTAATGGAAAAATAGCCTGTTGTTTATATCGAATAATTCGCAATATAGACATTATGAATAAAATATTACTTTATGATATGTATATAGACGATATACATTGGTTAACTTTATTTCCTTAAACATCGATATTAACTCAACGTGATTGTTACACATAACGAGAGTATGTCAGTTTAAGAAGCCATAGTATGAAACGTATTTATTAATCTACTATTTAAATAGGAAATTTGAATATAAAATTAAGATAACTTAACCTTACACGTTTAATAAGAACAGCGCCATTATTTCTTCATGAGCAGGTTTGCATTTGTAGAAGACATTGTTAGATGGCATTGGAGAGTATATAGATAGACGTATTTACACCAAGTCGCAATTAAATTAGATAAATTTTTTTCTTTTTTTCTTTTTTAACAAATTTTTAATCCCCATTTGTTTTCTTTCTTTTTTCTACAATTTATAAAAATATATATTTATATAATATAGTTTCATAATATATGACAGTTATGAAATATAGTTTTTATTGTGACATACGAATAAATTAATAATAATAATAAAATAATAAATCGATTTAATTACTTTATTTTCGCATATAGAGAAAAATTGAGATGGAGAAAATCCAGAGTTGAGAGATTTTAAAAGAGGGATGAGAGAGAAACGATTGAATTTATATAATAAAAGATTAATTGTTGTCGCGAGAGCTCGTACGGCACCGATATTTATTCGAATTTTTATCGGTAAATTGGCCTTTTGAAATAAACGAAATTGATTTATCGATCGATTAGATAACACTTGCTTCGAGTTTTCTATTATGTAATCATTCGTCGCCCAGGAAATGTCCTTTTTGTATTTATATATACACTTCGAAGCGATCAATTTGAAGCGATCGAAGAAATTGTCGATCTCGTTTATGGCCGATATCTTCGATATCTTTCGATATCTTTCGATTTTCGATTATTATATGTAAATAAAACACTATTACTACGTAAAATATATCAGACGTGTGTGTGTGTGTGTGTGTGGCTTGACGTACATAAGTTTGCTTGGTTGCAAGTATAAAAACATGTTCTAATAATTCTACGAATAAAAATATTGAATATAACTGAATTCATTTATTAATTTCTTAATGATTTCTGATATTCATAATATTAGAATCATTATTATCATAATGATTCTACTAATATCATGGAACTATTCCTGATGAAATTATCTCCTTTTTTTCCGGACAATCATATAGAAAACTAAATTTTATGTATAATTAATATGTTTTAATGTATTTATACGTATGCGTAGATAAGTTTTCATTCAAACAAAAATTCATAAATATATTAAATAGAATTTAATATAAAAGAATGTTTGTTAAATCTTGTTTGTTTCGCTTTAATACACTGCGTGCGTAATAGAATAACTAAATTCTCTTTCTAATATGAAATTGAAATGAATCTATTATGAAAATGAAAATAATTCTGTTCAATTCAAGAGATATCCTTGCTGAAAAGTATTACGACTCCAAAGAGAGCTGATATTATTACTTGTTATAAACACTATACATTTCTTTTCGTCCATTTTTTAATATACTTCATAACATGTATTGCATAATTAGATAAGATTATATGCCCATATAATCTAAGATAAACGAAAACTTCTCTTTGAATGTGATCGAGTAGGAATTAATAATGAGAAGTTTTATTGCGGGAATAAAAGTTTTAACATTTGAAGGAAACGTAAATACCGGTAATAATTCTAATGTAACAACAACAAATAATTGTCAATTAAACAGATGTACGAATGAGTTGGTCTATCTGCAGCAAGTTATTAATGAAAAAATTAATAAAAAAGAAATATTCTATAGTTTCGAACTTTTTCCAATGAAAGAACCCAGTGATATTTATAAGAGGTTAGTATAAAAAAGGAAAAATATAAATTTCATAGACTCTTAATGAATCTATGTTTCACAAAATATTCGGAATTAGATTCTTTGCAGAGATGGACAAATATTCTCCTGTATTTTATGCTTTAACTTGGCATACTAAGAATGTTATAAATTCTTATTTATCCTTGGATATAGTTGAACAATTTCCTTCTCCAACGTTATTACATGTAGCAGGTAAAGGTTTAAAACGATGTAATGTAGAAATGATATTAAAAAGAGCATACGATCTTGGAATAAGAAATATCTTTGCTCTTCAAGGAGGTAAACAATACTAATTCTTTAACTTTTTATTTACAAATCATAGATTTAATATTTGAAATGAATTAATCGAGTTTTAGATTCAGTACTCGAAGACGGTGATTTTCCATATGCCATTGATTTAGTCAAATTTATTAGATCATATTTTGGTCAAGAATTTAGTATTTGTGTCGCGGGTTATCCCGATATGCATCCATCATCGCCAAACAAAGATTTCGATCTCTTTCATCTAAAAGCAAAAGTATGAATCATATCTAATTTATTTTTTAAAAACTTTCGAATGAATAAATAATTTCTTGAAAGATTAACACAGATTTAAAAGTTAGGACGAAAAACAAAACTACAAATCGTTAAGAAAAATAATCGATAATTAATAACATTGTACTAATAATAATTGAATTTAGATATCTTAGAATTTCAAGATAATCGCGTTCAGCCAATATTATATATATATATATATATATATATATATATATATACATATACACATATATATATATACATATACACATATATATATATACATATACACATATATATATATATATATATAAAGTTGCATTTAATATATAAATTATAGTAATTTCATATCAACTACTTATAGGTTGACGCAGGTGCAGATTTTATTATAACACAAATATTTTTTGAGTCTGATACATTTATAAATTTTGTTAATGATTGTAGAAATATCGGAATAACGATTCCAATTATTCCTGGTATTTTCCCTATACCGGAGTATAAATCTTTACAAAGAATGACTGATATTTGTCGCTTAAATATACCAAATAAAATATTCGATCGTTTAGAGACAATAAAGAATGACGACGAAGCAGTAAAGAATTTTGGAATTGAATTCGCAATCAATTTAATTAAGGATATCATTGAACGCCGGGCTTCGTATGGTTTTCATTTATTTACGTTAAATAAGTAATTAATTATTATGATTTTTACAATTATTATGTTTTTTTATATAATATATATTATGCTTTTTTTCACAGGATAACAATGATTCAAAATATATGTAATCAATTGAATCTAATTTACTAATTACATAATAAAAAAGAATACACAATAACCAAAGTTAAATCTAATTTGTGTTTGTTTCTTGTTTTAAATGAATGCTCCACATCTCTTTCTATCTTTACAAAGTATGTTTCTTTGATATTATATATTGATTCATGAAATATTAAGATATTTTTATTTTTTTAAATATGTTATTGCGATCGTTAGTTATTAATCATGGCTTCATATAAAAAAAATCAATGTTTCAGCTGACAAGCGAGAATTCTATTGTATGCATGATTTTTTTTGAAAAAAAAGTGTGTACACACAAACATATGGCACCGCACGAAACTGAATCAGTCGGAATCTTGTATTCTTTCATTTGTCATTCGATTGCCTAAAGAAATATAAATAAATTACTTGACATTTTTGTTTAAATATTAAATAACAACATTTTTAAATCTAATAAAGTTTATATATACGTATGTATAATAGAAACTTCCATTAAGGATTTCTTTACTTAAAAAAAAAACCAGCCGTATTCGAGAAGTATTTGGCATTGACTTCATTTACATATTTCCACTTTATTTACAGCTTGTGGATTAACAATTTTCAGACATTAAGATAAATGATATAATATAATATAAATGATTACAATAAATATTTTGAAAATATCTTACCTGTAATGGTATAAAAACGCTACGCTTGAAACCGTTCCTGAAACTTGTTTCTTAATAATTGTAACTCCATTCTATTGCTGGTGTTTTTGTAAATTTTCTTGTAACATTTTTGCAATTCAGGTTTTTGTTTTTTCATCAATTTATGGTAATCTAATACATCCTATTCCTGCCTTTCCAATGTTGATGCTCTTGAATATCCAAGGTCTTCTTGACAAGCGTCCTTCTCTGTATCCGCAAAATTCACCCTACTTTCGGGTTTTCTAAATTCTCTAATAGTATAACGTTTCTTCATTTTTCACTACTACATTTCTTTCTATTTCGGTCGATTGTTTATAATATAATAGATTTTACAAATTTTACAGAAAGCGATTTTGCTGCATCAAGTCTAGCAGCTTTTCTTCGTAAATCCTGAAATAATTTAATTGTAAATATATATTACACAAGTATTTGATTGTTTTCTATAAACTCACTATCATCTTTCTTGGACGATTTCAAAATAATATGTAAAAAATCCTGTTAGATAGACTCGCCATTTGTAAAAAATTAGAAAGCATTATTCTCTGAGATCCTAAGACTAGTACGTTGCAAACTAGCATTTTGGATAATTTTGTCAAATCTCCGGCAACATCTAATATGTAATATAGATATATTACATTTTCAAAAGTTAATGTTTAAAATTGAAATAAATATTTCCACAATTATTGCAGCCATAGATGATGCTCCAACTATTAAAGAAATATTTGGTGCTACAAAATCATATTTAATATCTTTTAAATCCATTTTTGAAAAAATATATATTGTACTACAGTAGCTAAGTTCGGATATTATATATGTATACGTTTATTTTTGGTCCTACATTTTGAAACTACCTTTCTTCAATTGTCATTACTGAATTGTATACGTTTCTCTTGAAGCTTGACATAAGCCATTCGTTGCATCATAAATATAGCATGCACATTATAAAAAAGATTATTTTCTAGAGATTTTTCATCGCAACTTGCTATTTCATAAATACAGCCCCAGATATTCTTCAAAGTCATATGATCACTTATCAAGAAAAACATATCATCACTTTCCGCTTATTGACGGAGCCGAAGGCTGTAGAAAAATTGTTAGACATATACATACGAAAATAACACAATTCGAATATAACGACCAGCACGTTATATTCGATATATAATAAATGTAAATTAAGTTGAACACTGAAAAACAAGATATGCAATATACATATATATATATATGTATATATATATGTATATATATATGTATATTACATATCCTTATAACCAAGTTATCTGGAATTATCGTAGAAAATTCGAAAGAAGATACAAATACAAGTATCATGTTTGACTGTAAGCGAGAGTTTCCCTCCAACTTGAAGCAAAATTGAACCTACTTTTGTTTAAATCAAACACGACCCTTACCAATTTTAGGCTTTCTATTTCAACATTTTTTAGGGACATGAAAGACAATAAGGGTCATAATAATTAACACAAAATATTGAGTAGATAAATATATTACACTTTCACTTACAGTACATTTGTGAAAAATACATCAGACTTACGCGGCTATATCGCATGACATATATATATATATATATATATATATATATATATATATATATATATATATATATATATGTACATACATATATATATATACACACACACACACATACAAAGACGCAATTCAACAAAATTTGTTCAGTACTGTCCATACAATGGGATGATGATACGAGATAATCAACGAAAATGAATATTCTATGCGATATATTCCACGTACTTTTAGCGACCTTTACAAAATAACAAATATTTGAATATATACGTTTTAATAAGTTTTTCATACATTCATATGTTGTATATTATATGGTTTATCATACCATACCATATACATATATGATAAGTCTTCATAGTTATCTTATGTTTCAACATGCTGTAAGATGATGAAAAGAGACATAAGAATTCGTCTTGCATAAAACAAAGCTCTTTAAGACTAATGTACCTTTACTTTTTTTTTAAATTACAAACTCAAATTCTATTGCTAAAGCATAATGCTAATATAGCACGTATATTTATTCTCAACATCTTACGCAACCAGTTTTCTACCTTCGAATAATAATATTTAGAAAATGTGGATTTACGAGAAATAAGTCGTATATTGTGAATACTGGTTTAAGTGTAATTTGATAATTTCATACAATGAATATTATATAAATGTTAAAAAAAAAAAAAAAAAAAAAAAAAAAAGAAAAAGAAAAAAAAAAAAGATTTTCAAGTATAACACAAAATCTATAAAGAATCTGTACTGCTAGTGCCAAGTGCATTGACTATACATTATATACCGATATGTATATAATTATTATCGTTTTGTATGTTCAAACAAAGAACGTTAGTATAGATTGTATGTGATTTCATACCATCAACATAGGTATGTGTGTATCATTATACACATAGTGACATGTTTAACATGCAATTAATCTGAAGCTTGCACAAACAGTATTGTTGCGCTTATTACTTCCCATTGTACACAGCCCTCTTCGCTTTTATTCTACATTCAAGTTAATGCTTCACATTATGAATAGAAACGAGAAAAAAATAATTAGAGCTATCATTGAAACCTTGTAGAAATAGATTACATATAGAATCCGATAAAATTGATAGAAAGCCTAGATGTTCTTCTTAGTAATTTTCCATCAATTTTACCTCTTGTTTTACATTCTATATATAACTTTTAATGGGAAAGATCGAAATCTTACATAAACTGTATATGTAAAAGACAAACGTCATAGCAGTTTTCAAAATGCATATTTAGGAATTATTAAGAAAATGATACATAGAATTTATCTGTGTCTGTATCGAAAAAATAAATTACAATTCTTTATCAATTATAAGATACGGATATAATTTCCTGAGAAAGAGAATAAACAAAATTGAAATTTTTATTTTCAATCTTGTTTTACTTCAACTAAAGCATTTTATCAAATTTTATATTAAATGTGTCTAATGTACAAAACAGAGAACGAGATATAGATACCGTGGCAGCAATTTAAATGTCAACACAATTATTCATAAATTAGAATAATTATCAAACTTGTAAACTAACTTAAAATCTAATACAGAATCATTTAATCGTTAGTTGAAAAGAAATTTAATAAGCGTTTTCACATATAAGATCCATTTCTTTTGAAAATACTATACTCCTTTACTTCGGTTATTTTTAAACGAGCAAAATTAATAGATGGCCCCTTTCTGCAATATTGTCATTTATATTGGTTAATATGGCCAATTTTTAAATTGTATACGTGAGATGGCTTCAGCAAAAAGGAAAACGGTCTGTTTTTACCAAGGTATACTTACTAAACGAATTCTTATATTTTGGTTCCATCTATACATCTTGCAACAATGAAAATAAAACTTTTAATATAATGAAAAAAAAAAAAAAAAAAAAAAAAAAAAAAAAAAAAAAAAAAAAAAAAAAAAAAAAAAAAAAAAAATACAATCTTTTCTAAAATTTGTCCAACATTGATAATAAGTTATAAATATGAAGTAAACAATTCGATTGTTATTATTGTTTCGGCAAACATTGTTTTTGCTGTTGATCCGCATACGAAACCTAATAAACAAATTGAATCTATGAACTATTTGTATAACATTTTATAATTTCTGATATTAGATATCGAGTAAAGAAAATTGCACCATTGTTTCTATAATTGCTAAAAATCTAGCTATGTTCTAAAAATAGATGTACCTCTTATTATTTTTCCAATACATTTACATAACATAACAAAACAGACATTATAAACCAATTATATATTATTATGAATATATTGAATAATATTATTCACCCATTTCAGGTAAGTAAGTAATCAATTGATGATAAACAAATATAAGTTTACAAAGTAAAATTCTGATACATAATGAGTCAACCTTTGTCAACCTTCATTTTGCACAAAAAAATCAATAATGTTTCTTCCACTAAAACTGGAATTATTAATATTTATGTTATATATTATTTCATAAAAATAGGAAAACCTAGACTATTGCAATGCATACATTAAGATGCCATAAAAGAGCGCAGTAAGTTGATTAACATATTCTATCCTATGAAATTTTTCATCAACATCTCGATCTTAAAAAACAGATAGCTTTTATTCATAATCAAATAAAATCTATAGATCTATAAACATTTTCTCTCGAGAAGTGAATAATTCATTTAAAAAAATATATGTTATCTTTTAAAAAGTCAAGTTGGCCATGCAACACAAATTTTTAATCATCATTTTTTTGGTCAACTATCGTTTACTGGTTGACAAAGACAAAATATAATGATAGCATTAATATAAATTATTTCAAGTTTTTACAAAAAGATATAAATTAATAAGATTTGATCGTCGACCCTTGGAAAAGTTTATGCGTTGAATGGTATTTTAAAAAAAAAAAAAAAAAAAAAAAAAGAGGAAAAAGAAAATTAATCATAAAAATGCAAAAGTTCAAAGGCACAGAAAAAAATCATGATTAATTTTTGCTTGAAACAGGCTCCCCTAATGTTGCATTTAATCATGTTAATTTTACATATTTATTAAGAATTAAGAACAACGACGAACTCGAGAGTAAGACTTTTAAATCCAAATAAAAGTTTAAACTTGAAAAAAATATATAATACTAATAGATCTGTTTAAAAGGAAAATAATCTTTTATAATATAGAGTATCATCCTTGTTAATATAGAAAACTCTAATTAATTTTTTTTCTATTTATATAAGTGAATGCACTAAATAATACCATGATGGAATTGTTATAATTATTCTATAAATGTTTAAAGATAATAGAGATTATAATTTGTCAGTTATATTAGTTACTTATACAACTTAAAATCTTTTCTTGCCAAAAATGCTCATACTTCCTTCAGAAATTCTATATAAAATCATATAGGATAATAAAATTCTATCATTAATATCTTGCATGTCAATAATGATTTAGTAGATGACCAGAATGATAATAATTATATAAAATTTGGACAATATATGTTAATTTCACCTATCTGCAATACTTATGTATAATTGTATATTTTTATCGTGTAACCTTCACTCAGGTTAAGTAACATTCTTCTCGAATGTCTCTGTAATATAGTATGTTTTGCTTCATTGTGCAAACATATAAATTGAGTATACTACATTGTCATGTTTATAAAACACTGACATCAATTTCTGTTAAATTTTAACAAATCTGTATTCATATGTCCATTTGTTTTTCAATGAAATTTTTAACTTTATTACAAGCAACAACCACCTTTCGCTTGTTGTCTGACGAATGTATTTAGCAAAGCGGCAGCTGAATTATTAAGTTTCCAAGTACACTAAATAACTTCTTAAATGTCAGTAAAATAATATAAATAAAAACAATCTGGCTTTCTGTTTGACTAAATGAATCGCTTTTATAAATTATTTCACGTGTTTAACAAATTTTTTAAAAATATCACATATTTACAGCAACTAGTATGTTTAAATATCCAGAAAGGTGTTGTTTTTATGCATAAGAAATATTACATATCAATGATTACAAAAGCTAGTACATGCGAAAGTAGTAAGTCCACTTTACGCAGTACTACATCAACAAAAGGGTTTCACATATCAATCGGATGATAAACCTAAATTTATGCTGTTAAAAATGTTCATATAATCATCCTCCATATATAATTTTGATTTTGAGTAGAAGAGTCGTAGATTTTTCTTATGCAAAGAGTAAAAATTCTACTTACTTTCGATTATCCAATTATAGAAGTAAACGCATTGACGCATAAAAGTTTTCTTAAAGAATTATACGAACATGCGAAAACACATGCTTTTTCTTGAGTCATTGTCAGATCTGGGAGTTAATATTTAATACTGCAAGATTATGTTACTTTTTCGAATTATCTTCTTCGCTCGACCAATGTTTCTCTTGTTCCTGCAGTTCAAACTCCCATCGTAATTCTAATTCGCGCATATCATTCGCAATGCCAGCCTCATATGTATCTTCCTAAATATATTAAAATATATTCCTCGATTATATTTATGTCTATATCTATATTGTTATATTACAAAAAGATTTCGTAATATATATATATATATATATATATATATATATATATATATATATATATAAACTAATTATATTATATTATGTTATGATAAAATTATTATACCTCTTCGGTCTTATAATCCTGATTAAAGCTTTGATTAGTAAGTAAGCTAGCTGGTGATTGAATCCATGGTAAACTACCACCATACGGACTCCAATTTCTCACGTCCTTTTCTTTTTCTCTAATACCCGCTTCAATCATTTGCAACTCCTGCGCAAGTCTTTCACCGGCTGTAAAAGCTGCACCTTGTGTTGCAAGCTACAAACATTATAACATTAACAAATATTCGAAATTAAGAAAACAAACAAAATGTGATTATTTCCGAGATATACCGAGATTATACCTTTAAATCATTAATTTTCTTCTCTAAATGTTTTAGTTGTTGTTTTACTTTCTGTGATTCCAAGATTAAACTGCAATAAATTTGATTAAAATTACCTCACCCAACAGAGTATTCAGTAAAATACACATTCGGTAAGATCCAATTGGTTCATTTAAACTTACTCTTTGGACATACATTCCTGTTGCAAAAGATGCGAGTGTGTTTGTGATTCTGATATATTTCGTCCAAGAGCGATATATCCATCTCCATAATTGGATGTAGTAACAGATTGCATTCCTCCGTTTGTACCAATAGACGCATAAGCTATGTTACAAATATATCAGTGAAGTACTCCATTTTCTCCATATATTATTAAAGAATAAATATACAAGTACTTACGCTGATTTCCGTAATACCATGATGAAATGGAATTAGGAGCTGGCATAGGTCGAAAAGTAGATATTGTAGGTGGACCCTCATTATACAAACTTGTAGGTGGTACACCATTTGGAGATCTTATAAAAAAAATTCAAGTATTATAAAAATGATAGAAAAAGATAAAAACAAAAAGAGAAAATAAGAGATCATTAATTTATTATACAAACCTTATCATCGTTTTTGATAATTTGGATATTGGTCCATACTTGCTCGAAGGTGATGCATCGAATGGTACAAATTCATCATCAAATAATACAGAATCTGCACATCGAAAATTATTACTGCAACTCATATTTGATACAGGACCTATAGGATTTCCAGATGAATTTGCCCATATCGATAAATTCGATGAAAGCACATCTCCTTGAATGTCACAATTCTGTAAAAAGGGAAAAGTGAAAAGAAAGAAATATATATAATGCAACATGATGTGACATACGCAGAATCATAAATAGTATGGGCTTATTTCTTATACCATTTTCATCTGAGGAGCTTGCTTGTTGACTATAGTTTCAAGTTGATTCAAAATTTCCATTCTACGTTGTAACAACATTGCCAATGTTTTTGCTACTGTTCGTTGCTATAATTAATACATAAATACATATATTAAGCGCTCCTTCATATCTCATGTAAATACATTATTTCATATGAATTACCTTTTTACTATTAGAAATCCCATTTGTTACACCTGACGTTACTTGTGGCGGATCCCACATATTCATATCAGTTGTGTTATAATCTAAAGATGCTGCAGGCATAATATAATGAGGACAATGAATGTCCATGCTTTTCACAGGAACCATATGTGATAAATTTTGTGGCGGTGGCAACATGTAATTTGTCAAAGATCCAACAAAATTATTTTCGTTACTAACGATGGGATGTTGCGTTGGATTGACTTTATTCAATGAATTAAAACCTAAAATATAAAATATAAAAATGTTGAAAAATTCTAGGAATAACATGATAATTGTTGTTACATTGCAATATTACATACTATCCCTATGAATATCATGTGGTTTTATGGAATGATAAGGTGCCTCTTCGCTTTGCTTAAAAACCTTGTTGTTTTGAACAACAATAGACTTATCCGTCTTTAATTCCGTGTTACTATTCAAAGGTAAATTTGTTCTGATACTCAACTTTCGGTTCTTTGATCTATACCTGGCCGGGAAAAAAAAAAAAAAAAAAAAAAAAAAGAAATCCATTAATGATATGATAAAGAAAGAAAATATCTTATTTACTGCATTGAAACTTACTTGTCAAGTTCCATGTCACTGTGTGCAAAAGTACAATTGGTAGCTCTTGGACAAGATCCTCTAAGAGCAAGGTCTCTACACATGCTTACTTTATATTTTGGTTGACTTGGGCCAATATTATGAGTACCATCTGAACATTTTCTATTTCCATGCTGTTGAATGAATTCCACCAAAGCTGCAACCACAGTTCTAACAGCTTCCAATGCTGCACGACATTCAGCTAATGTGGGCGGCTCTGTTTCTATATACATAAATATATTATACATGTATAAAATGTAACATGTATTAAAAAGATACAATAATAAAGTAAATACCTGGACTAGGATCTATTGCAGCTAATAATTCTAGCTGTGGCCTTAAACCGCTAAGTTGTCCTGGATCAGGTGTACGTTGTAAGGCAATAACTAATTCTTGCACGCTTTGAGCAAAAGATTGTGGCGTTTGTAGCTTGTCAATAATACTTTGCATATGAGACTTATGACCAGTATCTCCATACAATAATGCGGACCATTGATCAGGAGCTATTCGCAATCCAGCTTCAGTTGCTATTTGAACAATCTGAGCATCGTGTTCTCTTCTTAAAGCATCATATGTTCTAAATTCTTCTTTTAGCTGCATTAAAGATGAATCGCCCTCTCTCTTGGATACCTAATTATGCAAAAATTATTACATTACAAGAATGCGTTGGCAAATAGAAATGACAATATGATAATTAAAAAAGACAAATAAACATTACCTTGAAACAACTTGCTCTATAAAGGAGCTGTACTACATGTCCAATACTTGTTTTCGATGCTTGTGGAAAATGTGGTTCCAAACGTTGAACCACAAACATTACTAAAACTTTTCTTGAAAGAGCTGAACCATCCTCCAAAGCTAAAAGAACTAGTTTGAGAACTTCCTCTTGCATTGCTAGTAGGAGGAATAAAAAAAAAAAAAAAAAGAAAAAAAAAACAAAAAAAAAAACAAAAAAAAAACAAAAAACAAAAAACAAAAGAGTATAAAAAGTAAGAAGTGAAAACCAATTTTTTATATAAAAGATATTGAAAAAGTGTTAAGATTTTAATACGCATAATAATACCTGGCCCAAGGAACTGACAACCACGTGCACGTACAGCAGCCCACAAATTGGCACTAAGCTGTTGAGGATTTTGATGTTGTAATATTAACTCCGTGACGGATCTTTCCCCTAAGCTTCGAGCTGCTCTTACAGCACGTGCTCTTCCCTCTGGTTCTACTAATTGGCACCCTACCAACGTAACCAATTTTCTCTGCATCGGACGAGACACAAGTCCCATTCCTGCTGCTATGGTTGGATTCGTCTGACATGGTTTCAAATAGAGCGCTAATTCTTCAATGCAACGCTTAGCCACTAAGTAATTAGTATGATCTTCAGGTGGTAATAATTTTTGATACGATGTTGCAACATTTGTTGGAACAGTATTACCAACTAATTGAAGCAGAGCTTCATTTACTGGTAATCTTTCTATTTCAGTATTTATAGTACTCTGAAAATGATATTAGTGCATTGCATTATACGTGTATATATATATATATATATATATATATATATATATATATATAAAATCCATATTTTATGAAATTACTATAGGATTTTGTACCTGATCGAAAGGACATTGCTTGCGATGCAAATTTGCTAGACACGTACGGCATATAGTATGACCACATCCTAAAGATATTGGACCTCGTACGGCCACATCGAAGTCATGACAACAAACTGGGCAAGAAAGAAATTCAGTCCACTGTGGTGCCTGTATTGGCATTCTAAAACATAGAAACAAACTATTTTAATAATATAAAATTTTGATATTAGTAATATTATTTAATAAAGTAGTTTAATATATTTTTATTAATAATAATAATAAAATAATTAATTCTATAAGTTTTGAAGTAATAAAATTTCTTATATAAAATGAAATATGTTTTACATATGTACATTTATGTAAGAGTTACATACTGCAATAATTTAGAATATTTCAATGGACAATAGATAAACAAGTGCTATAGAATTTCTTAAAATATCCATACGTATAACAAGCAATGTACTTGCAGAATTTGTTGTAATACGTCTTTGTGTAAACATTCAATATTAAATGCTTAGCTATTTCTGTCGTATTTAGAACTGTCTGTTTAATCCCTTTTCGATTACGTTTTATTACGAAAACGATCTACGTAATATCGCAATGTATTTCTATTAAATTAATAATATTAATCTATCAACATTTATTATGCACAACACACATGCAGACACACACGCACGCACGCACGCACGCACGCACGCACACACACACACACACACATTCTTGTCCACGATCGTCGCAATAAGATTGTTTAATTATTTGCAATAAATCCTCGTGACGTCTGTTCTACATTTTATCCCTACAAAACATAGATGTGCTTTTATCGTCGTATGACGAACCTATTCAACAAAGAATTAACGTAGAAATTTTTTTTATATCTAAACTTACCTCGTTATTGTCTCTACAAAACATCACATTAATTAATCAGTTACTTCGCACATAATTCTGCCATCAAAGCAGGAACAGATGAATCACAGATAAGATGAGCTCAGCATGATCTCCATAGACATTTCTACGTCGCTGGCATGCACGAGGAAAATGATCTAGAAAGATAGATTACCTCGTCCACTCGTAAGATGGTGCTCCTGTTTATTATGAACGATTCACATAAGCATTATATAGTAGGAAAAAGCCGTATAGAACTATATTAAAAATAACCAATCAAAATCCATGATATGTCATCTATCATCCAATAAGATTTTCATTGAATCCATTGGAAAAAGAGAACTCACGGATACCACTTTCCGATTGGTCGAGTTATTAGAAATGACATTTTTCAAACCGTATACCGTTAATTATAAAAATTTAATATTTCATAAACACGCGACTTTTTTTGCAAAGAAATATCGAGGATATATATTACAGGAGATTACGTACGTAAAGAAACGATCATTCGTAAAGTCAGTAGTAGCTCAGGAGGTAGCGGTGATTGACCGCATTAAAGGAAAAGGACGACGAAGGGAGAAAGATCATGGTACTGTCGATGTTCCAGGCAGGCGCACTGTATAGAAACCATAGTATATCGAATTGAGATATGAATGGTAATAACAAATAGAAATAATATAATAATATTAGAGAAAAGATCAGAGAAAAAATCAAAGTTCGAAAGTAGTCGAAAAGCGAAACCGACATAACGAAAAAAAAGAAACAAATAAAATGATAAGATGTATGATAGTATCGTAGTATAGCAATGAAGGTGATGTGATAGCAGTAGTGGTTGTGTGAAGGTGGTGTCGGTGGTACGATAGTGTTGCTGCTGCTGCTGCTGCTGCTGCCGTTGGTGGTGGTGGTGGTGGTGGTGGTGGTGGTGGTGGTGGTAGTGGCGGCGGTGGCAGTGGTGGTGGCAGTGGTGGTGGCAGTGGCAGCGGGGGCAGCCATACTCAAACAACCGCCGAGCGAGGAGCGCGGCGCGGTGTAGAAATGAAACGATAATACAGCACGTTGAAACGCTCACGGCTTAGGGACGAGGCGCAAGGCGTGAGTGTGACCGATTGGGCGTAAAAGAATTAGAAGACAGAAAAGAATCAGGGCGGAAGTGCGGCAAAGTTCGCAGAGGAAAAGGAAAGAGTGTGTCGACGAAAAGAAGGGGGCTCCGCCGTCGAATCTCGGTGGTGGCACGGAGTGGACGGTATGAGCGCAAAGACGGACGTTAACAGGCGAGTCCTAGCGATTCAGGCCAAAAAGAAGAGGCACAAGCCGAGTAAAAGAAAAGGGAAGGGTAATTCTCAGGGTGATACGGACTCAACTACCGGACAATGCTCAAAAGTACAACCAGCCGCCGCACGGCAAGGACAAGGATCCGACTTCTTTCAAGATCCCTCTTCGGGACAGAGACCATACTCCAGCGATAATGGAAATAGGTAACCGGTTACCATTAATATGCCATCTATTTGAACCTTACCAGAATTATTTTGAGATCTATTCTATATTCCTTCTCAAATTTAAATGAATATCTTTTTGGTTCTATTTATCTTTCCTTCAAGAGGATTCGATTTACGAATAACGACGTAATAATCAGCTCTTTTTTCTGTGAGTTTACAATTAGTAGATAAACAAGCCCTTATTTTCTCACGCAATTATGTGACGATACGGAAGCAAATTCGTCGTTGTAATAAATCGATCTTTGTGATATTATCGCGTCGATACATCACGTAATTTCGATAACGATTCCAGTTTCTTGTCATTTTGGAAGTTATGTAGGTGTTTGGAGGACAAAATATATATATATATATATACATACATACATACATACATACGTACATACATACATACAACATACATAACACGCACACACACACACACACACACGTATTTAAATATATCAGCTGTATGCTAAGGAAAAACAAATTTATAAGAATCTTATTAACAATCGATAAAATTTTTAGATTGGAACCATGTCACAGCTCGAGCAATGAAACGATAGAGGATGACGATGAAGTGTATAGTAGCGAAGATGAAGAGCAGGAAGATAGCAGTGATTATTGCAAAGGAGGTTATCATCCTGTGAAGATAGGGGATTTGTTTTTAAGTCGTTATCATGTGACTCGAAAACTTGGCTGGGGTCATTTCTCTACAGTCTGGCTTTGCTGGGATCTACAGGTATGTGGATATAAATATTAGGATAATTTGTTTTTGCATCTAATATTTTTCGAGTATATATAGGAATTAATTTTTAAAAAATATTCTATATACAGGATAAACGATTTGTGGCCCTCAAAGTAGTAAAATCTGCAACACATTTTACTGAGACTGCTTTGGATGAAATAAAGTTATTAAAAGATGTACGTGATATCGATCCTAGCGATCCTAAACGAAATAAGACCGTCCAATTGCTCAATGACTTCAAGATCAGTGGCATTAATGGTCTTCATGTTTGCATGGTATTCGAAGTGCTTGGACATAATCTCCTTAAATTGATTATAAAATCTAGCTATAGAGGAATTCCAAGGAACAATGTTAAGCGCATCATCCGCCAAGTCCTTGAAGGTCTTGATTATCTTCATAATAAATGTAAGAAAATGAAATGATCTCTAAATTGATGTATACTTCAGACTAATTTCTTATCGAGGCACGCTAAGTAACCTAAGATTTCACTACAAATTTAAAAGACATAGACAAAAAAGTTTTTACCACAGAAGCATAGTGTCTAAAAAATTTGTTTTTCCAGGTAAAATTATTCATACAGATATCAAACCTGAAAATGTTCTCATATGTGTAGATGAAACTTATATAAGAAAATTAGCTTGTGAGGCAACCGAATTACATTCTTTGGGTATAAAATTACCTGTTTCTTTAATTTCTACTGCGCCGAAAGAATTTCAAGAACCCACGCCAAATTCCAAAATGTCTAAAAATAAAAAGAAGAAATTGAAGAAGAAAGCTAAACGGCAAAACGAATTATTGAAGAAACAAATGGAACAGATAGAGGAAATAGAAGAACAAAATAAACTTGCAAATAGTACAAGAGAAAATGGTGAGTTGGAGACAAATAGTCCGGATCAAGATGTGAATACAGAAAGTATAGAGGATAATACAGAAAGTAAAGGTTCTCCTGATATCTCAGAACCATCTGTACCATCGTTACACATCAATGGAGTGGATGGTTTAGCAGGTGGAGAAAAAATAGAAAATCAATCAACCGATCGGTCGGAGAAAATGGAAAATGTGACTTTATGTGATGTAGACAAAAGTTGTGGTGAAAGTACTCTACCACGAGATGCAGAAGATACGGACGAATGTAGCGAAGGTTAGATTTCATTACTAAAATTATAAAATGATCATTGTGTTTATTCATTTCGTATTTTTTTCCTCTTTCTCTCTCTCTCTCTCTCTCTCTCTCTCTCTCTCTCTCTCTCTCTCTCTCTCTCTCTCTCTCTCTCTCCCCCTCCCTCCCTCTCTCTTTCTCTCTCTCTCTCTCTCTCTCTCTTTGTTTTTTTTCTTCTACTTCTATTCAGGACGTAATTTAAATCCACCGGAGAGTAAACAATTAAAACGAGCATCTGTGGCACCACTTGATCCAGCTACGGTAGATTGTGAAGTTGAAGTAAAGATAGCTGATCTTGGAAATGCATGCTGGGTTCATAAAAAATTTACAGATGATATACAAACACGACAATATAGATCTTTAGAAGTTTTGTTAGGATCAGGATATGATACTTCTGCAGATATATGGTCCACAGCATGTATGGCATTTGAACTAGCAACTGGTGATTACCTTTTTGAACCACATAGTGGTAAGGAATATTGTAGGTTAGTATTTACAAATTACAATTACTATTGAGAATGAATGACATTATGTAGAATAGATAATATTTGTGCAGATACGTTATTCTCTTTTAAATTATATTTTCAGAGACGAAGACCATCTAGCTCATATTATAGAGCTACTTGGAGAAATACCTAGACGTATAGCGCTCTCTGGAAAAAATTCGAAAATGTACTTTAACAAAAAGGGTGAACTGAAGCATATTACCGGATTAAAGCCATGGGGGCTTTATGAGGTGCTTACAGAAAAGTATGATTGGTCACCGAGTGAAGCACGCGAATTTGCTGAATTTTTAACTCCAATGTTAGAATTTGATCCGAGTATGCGAGCAACAGCTGCTGAGTGTCTGAAGCACCCATGGTTGCAAATCAAGTGATCCTGCTTTTATTTTATTTTCTTTTATTTTATTTCATTTTTTTTTCTTTTTTTTAATTCTTTTATCTTTAAATTTCTGAGATCCTCACTCTTTACCACCTTGATGCAATTACAAGTCGAGAGTGTAATAGGAAGCAGAAGTCAGAAAAAAATTTTTATACCCAATTATAGTTTCAATTTTCAATATAAAAGGAATACATTACTAGGAGCGCACATCCTATATTTATTTCATATTTTGGGCCATAAAAGAATTTTAAGACACAGCCTATATATATATGACACAAACGTAGCACATCATAATGTAAAAATATACGCGAATAATTCGTTCGACGATAATAAATTCTACTGATAAATGTCTCGATATTATTAGGAGTTAGACAACATTTATATATATATAAAAAGGAAAGAAAAAAAAAAAAAAGAAAAAGAAAAAAGAAAAAAAAAAAGAAGAAAAAGGGTTAGAAATCAATTCTATGAAATTTCGTTATACAGTGAGGTATGCTTCCTAATGAAATACTCTCGACATCACCCGCCTATACGTGTATTTATAAATTTGTTAAATCATATTTTTCATTTAGCGATGACAACTTAAATTAAAGTTAATAGTATTTTATTACTTTATACATTCGTTACATCCTTCGTACTGGTCACTTTATTTATCTACAAGTATTCCAAGAGTCATGGTACCCACTCATAAGATACTTTATAGATATTTAAGGGCAGGCCCGTTAAAACACGTAAATTTCTATAATTCAATCTGACTAGATTTCTTTTTAATATGATGTCAGTTACAGTAAACTCTTAATGAAAGTTCTTTTTTCCATTAACTATTTTCTGTATACTCTTAGACGTATAATGTAAATTTCTCACTACCTCGTTGCATTAGATATTTTAAAATACTCATACACAACACATGCCGGAACATGTAGTTAATGCACAGAATATTTCTATGAATTTACAATGTATTTCAAATGTACGAATGATTGGTATCAAGTGAGAGTTGGTCACCAGATTCTTGGTATATAAAGCCAAGCTAGGCCGAACACAAATCGATATGAGACAATATGTTTTTGCTGAATATTTAAAGGGGCAGAAATATTTGAGTAAACGAAATATTGTTAAATTATAAGCATTTCAATAAGAATACAAGTCGAACGTACAAATATCTAAAGCAATATTAATTTTTGGTTATGCAAACTTTATGAATCTCAATGGTCCATTCCAAAAGTAATGCGATTTTTTAAAGTAAGTTTTAAAATAACGAAAAAAGATACTTTCAACTTTAATCTAAGATATATTTATCACTATTATTTACAATTTGTTTTTATCTTAATTTGAAATGTTCAATACCTTCAATAATTTCTCACTGTCAGAGGATTTTCAGGATATTTTGACTTTTCTTAATATTCAAAGCTATAATTCCCAGAGCGGAAAGACTAGAATCATTTTTGACTTTGGTTTACACTCACAATAACTGGATCATAAATTTTGCGTTTTTTATTGTAGCAGTTACTGTAGCAGTACTTTCGCAAAAATTTCCAAAACAAATATGCCTTAAATGCTCTTTCGACACTTTCATAACGTTTAATTCTTAAATTCACGTATGAAAAATTAAACTAGCTAACAATTACTTAAAACACTGCAAGTTCTAATAAATAATATACATTGTACGAATATACAATAACTAAAATATTACATCCTCCATTTTGACAAATAAGAAAAAATCGCCTTATTTATGGGACGACCCAATATATCTTGTAATTTCAATCATAATGAAATATTTATTATTATATCCTTTTGAAAATGAAGCGAATGCACACAAATTGTCTTATCTCGTGTGTTCTGAAATATCGATTCTAATATATACTTTCCTATGTCTGAAACTCTCTATGTTAAGTCTGAAAACATCATGTGTGCATATTTGTATGTGTACATATATATATATATATATATATATATATATATATATATATATATACACACATACATATATATATATATACACCATATATATACGCACATACGTATACAACACACAAGTTCTATATAACCATCTTCATACATTGACTGATCATTGAGCTCTTCGCCGATAAATTATTTCCTGTTTTATATTAAAACAAAAGCAAAACAAAAAAACAGTGCATACACTGTATATTCACCATCATCGGCTCGTTCATGTTATTCTACTTCGTCTAGCACTTCAAATCTATACTCTATCGTTTTCTTTCTTTCTTTCTTTCTTTCTTTCTTTTTCTCTTTTCCTTTTGGTAAGACTTAAACTTAGGGTTTCATATCGACATGTGGATACGCTTATGTGTACGTACAAGGATCTTAATAAAATCATGCTTCGTTTTTTTTCTACCTTGGTGTTTCTCACCAGGTAAAGCGATTTTATTTATATAAGTATTTATCGTCAAGTATCATAGTCGTTTCGTTTTCCGCTAACAAAAAATTTTGTAAAAAATAATGAAAATCTGTATAATAATTGATCTCATGTGAACAATGTGCATCTGCTCTCACTAACAAGGTATCAATTTTGAAACAAAAGTCCTGGCACGATATTCTTCACACACATAAGAGAAACGTGTTGTACAATTATTTCTGGAAAGGGGGAAAAAAGTTAACGATTTCGTCATTGAAATTATGATTATAATTTATTATATACTACTGTACTGCGAGTAACGGGAAATATTGTGACGTGTAGAGGTTTACTACAATATTTTCTCTGCGACAAAAAAGAACAAAAACAGGAAGAAGAAGAAAAAGGAAACTAACAACACCGAATAAATAAAGTCCCCCCTACTTGTAATGCAGTAATTAGTATGGAACGCGTTTAAGATTATAGACGATCCGTTTAGCTAATGATGCGCCCTACGAATTTATGCTTGTTTCAATTGATTCTATGAGCTATAGAATCAAGCACGCGAGCCGTAGGCATTATCACGGTTTCGCATCATCTAACGACGATCTTGTCAAATTTGTACAGTAAATATTAGAGTAAATAGCGAATATACACGGATACAATTTTGTGAGAGGATTTGATGGCCATTGAAATTCGTTGGTATCATCTCGAGGTAATTCGAGTTACGTCTACTTCTTTATTTTAATTTTTTTTCTTTTTAAATTAATCAGATTCAATGTAGCTATAAACGTGTATTTTACATACATAAAGCTCTTATTGAAAATAAGATGACTAGATAAGAACAAAAAAAGTTAAACTAATTCGTTCAAATTGTACAACGAGAGTCGACTTTAAAGGTGAACATTTTTAAACACAAAAGATTCTTTTTAACTTTTCATTAAGCAGAAAAATATTCGATCGCCTCTATCATATTGACGGACTTCACTGGCCTGACGTATGTTCGTCTTGTAGGTCATATATTGCAATTAAAATAGAAAAAGAAAAAAAAAAACAAAAAGAGAAAGAAAAATAACCGAAAAAAAACCAAATCGAAGGAGAAACATGAATACCGACTTATGTAGATATAAATCCATTATTTACGTAGGCGTACGATGGCTGCTTAAATGCTAGTTAGAAGACAAAATTAATGACTTGTGTAACATCTGATGTAAACATCTGAACTTAACGGACGTTTCAATGGCTAAGGATCTTCTCGTGCGTGTTATAATTAATAATACGTAATAGAATTATTCGTTAACGGCATGTCGACTGTAATACATACGTGTATTTCTGACTAATCGAAGAAGAAAAGAAAAGAAATGGAGGAAGAGAATGGTTTGTATAGGGACCCAATTTTGAACTACACCAGCGGATCATGTTCCAATCGGTAGGGAAAACACAATAAAATGTTTCGCAATGGCTCATTCAAATAAATTGTCGAAATGTTGGGACTCGTGGGGAAAAAAGAAAATTAAAACAAAAAAACAAAAGAAAGAAAGAAAGAAAGCAGAAAATGATGAAATGACATTACAAAGGAAGAAATTCGAAAAATAGGTAGAAAATTAATATTATAGTAGTCTGTGATTTTTATATAATTGCAAAATAACAGAGAAGACTAAGAGGAACTATTTGTCGATAAAGAGAGATATCAGTAAGAGTGAACACAATCGAGATTAATCATTTTAGTGAACATAAAATAAGAAATGAAAATCAATGCAAGACACTCGGACGGGGAAAAAGAACACCAAGTCGCAAATGTACTCGACCGATGTCTATTGTAAATACATATACGCGGAAATAATTAGAAGACAATTTTCTTTTGCACCGCGTTCTAATCGTGACTGACTTTTTTCATCGGTAAAGATTAATTAATCGTGAGTAACGGGACAGTTGTCAGAGATAACAAAAATTTGATAAGAGAAGCGCGCGTATCTTACTGATTGGTACATAGTCAGTCTGGATCGTGGAATCACGAAAGATTCCGTTAAAAATTATGCATGTTTAGCAAATTAAAGCGCAAAAGTATATTACGAGCCACGCGAAAGATCTGAAAAGAAACGATGACTATAAAATTTTTGAGAATAAAAAAAAAAATAAAGAAGGAAGAAAACCAAACGATGAATGAAACAAAAGAAAATACATTATCTAGGACATCTTCATATACGTGATCATTTTCAGAATCGTTTATCGATCGAAAAGTGAATTAACTTTGAACGATAACAAGAGGAAAAAAAAAGAAGAAGAAGAAAATACATTCAGAAATAGCGTTATAAAAGTTGATTGGAGTGTTTTTAGAGAACAACAAGCTTCCGAGCTTTTAGACAATATCCTAAATATTAGCACTAATGAGTGCCCCTTCCCGGCCGACCCCTCCTTCCGATATCGTTACGAGAAAGTAAAAAAGAAGTGATTAGAAAGTTTTAATCTATCAATCGTAGGGAAAAGGAGCGAGTGAGAGTTAATTTAATTATACACACACACACACACACACACACACACATATATATATATATATTTTTTCTTTTTTCCTTTTTCAATCTTTCTTTTCCTTCCCCTCAAATTACAATTCGTTTCTTGATTATCGAGTTAATATTGTTAAATCAATGCGATTTATAAGTGTCATGTTATTTCCTTTCAATTCTTTCATCATCGAATTTATCCCTTTCGTGTCACGAAATCATTTTTCGTTTTCGCACGGTGTCCGTTTCTACGTTTATTTGTCAATCCCTCCATGTGTTTTGCAAGATAAATGAATTAATAATAATAATAATAATAATAATAATAATAATAATAATAATAATAATAATAATAATAATAAAAAAAATAAAAAAAAAATAAAAAATAAAAAAAAGGAAAGATAAATCCGTGAAAATGCACGTTGAATCGGCACGATGCCTCGTATGCTCCATTACTTCGAGATCGATAGATTTCTCGCAAATACATGAGGCATTCGTAAATTAATATGATTAATCGAAAAAAGAAACGAACGAGCCGAAAGAAATAAATGGATTTGATGTTTAGATGCTGCCTCCATTATATGCCCTGCCACAGGAAAAAGTAAGATAATAAACATAGACCCATGTACCCACCTCTAAGAGAATGATATATATATAAGAAATAAATTCGCAAGAAAATAAAAATAAATAAAAAAAGGGAATTTTTTCTTTCCAATTTCATCCAATGCCCCATCAAGTGAGCGAAGGAGAGACAAAAAAAGAATAGAGATAAAAAGGAAGAAATTCAATACGGTTGCGACTTTTATTTAATTTATATAAACGAATTTTTTTCTTTGTTTTACAAAATACTCGATCAATAAAATTATTTTTAATCATTAATAACATAGGATGTATTTTACATATATTTTTTATTATAGATATCAATTTTCTCGTACGTTTTGCGTGAAACAAAGAAAGTTATAATTTTTATTTTTGTATCTATGTACTAAATTTTTTATAATCGACGAGATGTTTTAAATATAAAGATTTATAAATTCCTTTAAGAAGACTGATAACGATATTAAAATATAAATATGCAAAGTGTGTACAAAATGAATTGAATGTGAGAAGGATATAGCTTTATTATTGCTCGTCATAGATAGTCATTAAAAATAATTACCCTATACCGTTTGTGATTAAATCACGGTTTAACGAATTGTAAGATGACTTTATTATTTTATATTCATCCTAATACTGTATTTTTGCTGTCGCATCCACAAAATTTACTCAATGGAATTGGTTTTGTTTATTTTTTTTTTTTTTTTTTTTTTTTATTTTAATTATTCATGCGATATTCATTTTATAAATTTCCAAGAAAATAGAATAGGTATATGTTACCGATCTTAATACGATGTATGTAATATTTTCAATTGTTTTTTATTTACTCGTTAAATATCATTTTCGACAAGACGAAGTATATAATATTTAAAATAAATTATGAACATTAATGTTCATAATAAATGTAACACTCGTACTTATAACAAATAAAATTGTATTCGAGCAATGTATGTAAATTATCATACATACTTGTTGAACGTTCTAAAGCCTCTTCTGTATTATAAAGGGGATAGATTGTTTCGTCACATGTGATATTAATAAACGTCAATAAAAGTAAAATACTTGACCAATATATATTTGAGCACTATGCCAGCACGTGCTGTACTACGTCATTTGAAATACAATTGGAAATAACATAAGTAGAAGATTAAATATAAACAATTCTACTGTACGTACATACTAATTATGGAATACTAAAAGGATTTTTACGGATAACCCTTAACGATAATTTTCAAACCTATCCATCTAAAAAAATTTCCATGTTTTAAAAAAATATACATTTATAGGCGCAGTTTCGGCTTTACATTCTTATTACGATACTTCATGCTTTCTATTATTTATAAAATACAATGACTTGTGATATACGAATATTTATAAATTATAAAATTCATTGGAAAATTGTTACTTAATACTAAATTTATTTGTAAAACTGTACAAAAATAGTTGTGCATAATATATAAGGCAGAATAGATAAGAATATCAGTTTGCGTTATCTATGTGCATGTCATTTACAAAGTTTTGCGAAGTTAAAACGTAGTAAGTGCAAAAAATAAGGAAACTGAAATTTCTATTTACGTTTCACTCAATACTTCAATACGTTCCATAATAGTTTATAATAATGTTATATAAGGCTGAATTATAAAATGATATAATATGCACATTTAAGTTTCATTTATAAAAATAAATTATAAATAGTATATTACATATGACTAAAAAAGAAAAAAAGAAAAAAAAAGAAAAAAAACAATCATATATTACGACATTATGTAGAAAATTATCCACAGAGTCATTATTAAATTAATCATTAAGTAGGATATGCCAGATTTTACATTTTAAAGGTCACTCATTGTACAATCTCATATCGCCGCATGATATATTTCTGTAAACTATTATATAAACTTTAATTTGAATCAGACCATTCTTCGTTATCTCTGCAAATTAATTACAATTTGGTTAATAATTTTCGAAAGTTAATTAACGATAAAATACAACCCATCACCACCAAGAAGCGCTATTTACTGCAAAACAAACACATCAAAGGATGCAGAAGAATTTGCTGCAACTTTATACCAACACTTACCCAAGATTTACTGAGAGCAACGTAAGAACAATATGCACGTACATACAATAGGATAAAACTGTTAGATTTTTCATATATAAAAATATTATACTCATTAAAACAATTCTAAACTTTCACGAAGATATTTAATCTACTGAATTAAAGGCAGGGTACTAAGTTTTCATTATCTAATTTATGTAATATAATGATATATTGGATCTATTCAATTTAAAGATATAAAAGAAAGACAATATAGGATAGAGTAGAACAAACAATTGAATTTAACTTCTCATCAGTTTACAATTTAATGAGTACAACTGGTTTATATATAGCCAACCTATTATTTCGGTCCAAATTTGTCTACACAGATTATATATATATATATATACACATGTGTGTGTGTATCTTTTACATATATATGTATAGATCATGTAAAACATTGAAATGATAAGAAACAACAAGAGAAAGAGATTATTATATCACTTCCACTGTACATAACTTTTTTCTATAAACCAAGAAGATGAATAAAGAGAATTGAAAAATAAATAAAGAAGATTCAATCATAAAATTCTCGCTTATAAAAAAGCGATTTATAAGCTGACATACTAATATTATAATTAATAAAATACTCTCTTGTTATTCTTACTCGTTACACATTTGAGCTTAGCGCCGTTTACATATATGTATGTATGTGTGTATATATATATGTGTGTGTGTGTGTGTGTGTGTACATATATATACATATACACATACATATATCCGTATTAATCCGTATATATAGATATACACGGACAGTTTATTTCAGCAAGAAGCACACATTGTAGCACGCATCAGACACACTCAAAGAAATATATTAAATACTTAATATCGACCCATGACTAGAACGTCCTTTTTTATCCTTTACCCATCTTCCATTTCGAGATTCCTCAGAAACATTAATATTTAATTGTGCTGTTGATGCAGTCGTCGCATCATCATCTGATTCTAATGGACTAATTCTGATTGCTTGATACCACTGGTTTGTCAAGTCTGTCATCTGTGATTTACAATCCTTCAGTTCTTGTTGTGTAAACCTTCGAGTAAAAAATGGAATGAAAAATTTCAGATCCCATCTTGCGAAACCATGAATCCGCGATTGGAGAAAAGATACTTCCATTTCTTCCTCTGTCAGTTCTGACAAGTGTTCAGAATCAATCGTCTGACCCTGTCAGATATAAAACATAAAAGATATAGAGCAAATGAAATATTTATAATGTATATAACATTTTATTATCATACCCATTCTCTTGTTTTACTCAATGAAACTTCTTTATCCTTCTTCTTCCTTCTACTGTTCTTTTGTTTCTTTTCTGCACGTAAAAATTTAAGCAATGGCATTGTAGAGCCACCAAATATCAACGTTGTAATTAAGACAATAATCAATGTAGTTGTAATAATGACATGACGAGTTTCATCGCTAAAATCCAAGTGAAGCGATAGTGCATACGATATAGCACCTCGAAGACCGCTGAACCACATAATGAACATCATTTTTTTGGTAATTTGATGTTCTCGAAAGCGATTAACAAGAAGAGCCAATGGAAAAATATTTGCTGCTCTACCGATAAGACACAATATAATAGACCATATGATTAGAGCAGGTTCCACCTGTAAGAAATTAAAGAATACGTTAATCTAAATAAAAGTAATGTAAAAGTTAATATTTGTTAATAAATATTTTCAATAGGGGACTACTACTTGATATAATACTGTATTATATACTTACTCTATGCCTAAAACTAAAAAGAGCTAATCCTAAATAAGCAAAGACACATGTTTCAGCTATAAAAGCTAAAGTTCTCATAGTCTGTTGCATTGTGATCTGAGTAACGGTTGACAGATTAAAATGAGTATAGTGCGACATAACTATTCCATTAAATAATATTGCCATAATACCTGAAATAATTATATTAAGAATTATAGAAAGAAAATAGTAATATAATATTGTTATAGGTGCATCTTAACATGCACGAAAAAAGGAGTTTCACCAGATAATTGTATGCCTTCTGCCAAGACATAAGGGGCATATGTGAAGACCAACATCATTCCAAATTCAAGAGATGGATTTTTTCTGAGATCAACATGCTTCAATAGTAAAGCACTTATAAGTGCGAAAACAACTCCAATACCAGCAGAGGCAAAAAACATAAGACAAAATCTATTTATGCCAAGAATAATGGCTTCGCTAGTGGTAGTAGCATTATTCGATTCTAATACCGAAGTTGTTAAAACAATAGATATTGCGTCATTTAAAATGGACTCTCCGAAAACTAACATATTTAAAATTGGATCGACCTCTAGTGCATGAAAAATTGCAACTGTAGCAACTGGATCTACGGCAGATATTAATGATCCAAATGCAAAACTTTCGACGAAGCTAAGCCTATACGCGACCTGTGCTAAACCTAATAAATAAATTCCTGCGCCAATGACGAATGCAGAAATGGCCGTACCAACGATTGCAAATACCAGAATGCTACCTATGTTTTGAAAGAAATTTCCCTTGTGCAAGTTATATCCAGATTCAAATATTATAGGCGGTAGGAGTACGAGGAAAAAAGCAGTTGGAGAAAAAGCTTCCTCCTTTCTCCAATTTGCTATATTTTGATGGGACATAAGATTTATGATCATGCCAATAGCACCACCTAAGAATACAATAACCACAGACTCCGGTAGATATTGAAAGTTTGTTTGAAGCATGAGATGTATTAATAGAATTCCTAATGCTAAAACGCAAAGAACAAAAAATATGGACATTGAACTATTATGTTCTTCCTCTGCAGAATCCTTGTCAGGTAGTACTGGTTCTGCAGGCGCAATTGTTGTTGTACTTGTATTTGTTGCATTAATAATATCTGGACTTTGAGAGGATGAGTAATCGGTAATCACGGTTCCATTTTTCTCATTAATCAGGCCACCCGTTATATCTGCGTTATTTTTTTCGGTCGTTACATTTTTAACAATATTATCATTTTGTTCCGTATTCGCTCCAGAATATATGGTTTGAGATTTTGATGTTGTCACAGTTATATTAATGGCAGATAATTTAACGAATTCATTTACAGAATTCTTAGGCCAGTTTTTTGTCTTACTTTCATCGTCAATAATCAAATTTGAATTTGTAATTGCAGACGCCTGACTTGTATTTGTAATAACTTTCAAATTGTTAAGCACCGGCAAAGAGACATTTGCCAATGGCAATTTTTCATTTTCTAGGTTAGCAATTTCCGTCTCAAAAGATACTTCGCCAAGGGATATTACGCCAAATTGCAATATAACGAAAATAACGCACCATTTACTCTGCACTTTATATCGTGTTAATAACAGATTCATTTTTCCACTTTTGTTCCTTTACATAATTATTTGATATGAATTAATTATAAATCGCGTTATCTTCGCGAACGGCATTAACGTACAGTGCCTAGGTACGATTGCGTGCGTGGTTTCTAACAACTTTCTTCTTCTTCAACAACTGCATCCGACAATATAAACTAAACGGTCATATTTTAAGCCGCATGACAACGCAGGAATCCAATGAAATGATAGACGCCATGACAGCATTTAGGCGGCAACCATTTAAACTTGTTTTTATCTTACATTATATTTCATTGATCGTGTAAAATCAATTTCTACTTCATAAATAATTAATTTCTCATTGATATTAGAATCGATATTTATTATCATTTATAAATTACAACCATAAAGAATTTTTTTATGTCTGCATATCCTTTTTTCTTTCTATAGAAAATAATTCATTGTTATAATGACTCGCTAAACCACTACGTCCAATGTGTGCAGAACATGGAGAATCTTTTCCTAATCTTTGCTCAACTCCTTTCCAAGATCGTTCTTGAAGAAATTGTGCTCCTGCATTGCCAATAGCAACGACACCTATTTTGATAGAATATCAATTAGTATGATATTGGATTGCTAATTTTATATAATATAATCGTAGCAAAAATATTGCCTGGTGTTTTTAGAACCAAAGCATCCATTTTATCTATACAAAGAATATCTTTATCTGCATTTCTAATATCTCCAGATATTAATGAGACGTCTGTTTCCATGGACGTTTCAAAATTACAATAATTTAAACCATCAGGCAGTATTTGCCTAAAATCCATACAATATTGCGTGGAGAATTTCCTCGAAGTATTAAAAGCTAAATCAACTTCAAAAGGCATTAATATGGGCCGTAAGAAATCTCGAGAATCAAATACCTCATTTTCGGAACATGCTATTACAATAAAGGCATCGATCTAAAATAAAACAATGAATATGAATTTTCATTATCAAAATTATATTAATCTAATGCATAAATAAAATATTTTGCATACCTCTGGGAAATTGGCCAATTTCGTTGGATTTATTTTACCAACACACAATGTATACGTCTTCTTATTCTTTTCCTTGAGAATATTTTTAACCATCGATATACATTTTAGATAATCTTGAATTCCTAATGTAGCTACTACTATACCTACAACTTTAGCATCCTTAAGCTTTTCAACGAGAAACCGTCTTCTTTTCAACCAAGGCGAATGTAAAACATTAAATTCAATGACTTTGTTATTTTCAAAATAATACCATTTTTTTGCAGGAATGCTCATTGCCAATGTAGAAAATGTTTTCCCATTTTCTCCCAAAAATACCGCCTCGTAATCATTTATTGTAGTATCATTCATTAAAATGTACCTTCTACCTAGGACAACCATTGTTGAAGCATCTTTGGAATCCGTAAATTCCACGTTTGATTTACAATTTAATGTGGATAAAATTAAATTTTTGAATATGGGTTTTAAATTGTTATATATACATTCTGCAAATAATAAAACTAATTGAATTCTCGAATTATAGGTATACTTTTTTTTTTAATTATAACTTACCGATCAGATGTGCATATGCCACGTCATAAAAAAGTATACATTTTTTTGTTGTATCTTGTAATGCTTCTTTAAACTGATCTTGAAAGCATGTTACATCAATTGACTTTTTTGGTAAAACATGAAAGGCTAATATTTGATTTACAGGATTAAGACAAGCGTGTCCAAAGTGTATTATGCCATCGGCATTGGCATGTTGAGCCGTAATTATATCGACGCAACAACTGCCGCATGTAGTGTCTCCCAAAATATATACTTTTCTATTTATATATTTTTCTATATGTAACGCAATGTTCACTGAATCTGACAAAAGGTCATCCGGGAATTGTAAACATACCTGTAAACATTACTATTACTTTTCCTTTTTACATTTGAAATTAACAGTTGATTAACAGTTGGTTACAATAATATAAACACATAAGTAAAGAATATATTGATATATATACGTTTTATGTCAGTGAGTCCATTTGCACGATCTTATTTCTTACCAGAGATTAAATGTAAAAAAGCAAACCTTTTCTAAATTATGAGCTTCAATCCATTTGACACATTTATCCATTTCATAAGGATCCTCAGTTCTTTTATCTGTTAATTGACCATCCACACTCGTTACATCGCTCATCGTGATATTTTCTGATAGATATTCATTCATGATGAGATTTATTTATACATATATTTATTATACATAAAATAATAAAATAATGAAAATAAAAAATTTGTATTTACAAATTTTTCCTTCGTCGCAACTTTTAAGAGAGTTCATTTGTCACGCATTGTACGAAATCTAGAAAGGTAAATCTAGAAACGTTAATATGCATTTTCATAGAGATTTTTGAATACTTGAATCGAAGAAGTAATAAAATGGTATCGAAGAGATTTTGCTAAAATAAAATTGCAACAGCGACTGCACTGGTTATTACTACCAACTATTTCTTCATCGTCAGCTAAACTTTAAGCCAATATAAATAAATGTATATATACATAGATATATATATATATATATATATATATACATATATATATAGACACACACACACGCACACACATTTGTATACACACGATACTTAGATGGCGCTAACGTTTGATTTCGTTGCAGAGATTTTAATGTTTTTAAACCACGAAGGATTTTATTTTTATTCATAAATGCGTTTATATTATTTCCACAAAACTGTCTAATACGGGAGAGTGAGTATGAGAGATAATGTTTCTTATCATTTTAATTTAGTAGAAAATAAATTTTACTAGCGCATGCAAATAAATTCAAATGAACTATATGTGATATATTGTGCGAATATAACCTCTTACTTCAATTAAATGTAAAAAATTGATTTTATTTTCTAGAAAGGAACAAAATCGAGCCAGCATGCCAGAACCTGTAAGCCATCAGGTAAATGCGGCTCGTAAAACGTTCCAAACATTATTCCAAATTTCCAAACTACTCAATACAAATTTAGATCCAGCAACATTAAGTATCTGCGTAAGGCTGTGCGAAAATGGGGTAAACCCTTATGCTCTTGCCACGGTAGTAAAAGAGTTGCAAAGAGAAGCAAAAGCTATGAACAACGCACAAACGACTGATCCTACAGTCAGTAAATCTAGTTTAAATAAATGATTAATCTCATTCTGTTGTTATGAATCTTGTTGTAATTAATACAGAAAAATGCTCTCTATGAATAGATTTTCTATTACTCGTTATACTATATAATGAATGATTTAAATAACATAATTAATTTCTTTTGCTTATAACACATTTTAATTATACAATTGCCATGACATATATATTCTTCCAATTTCCTCCAATATATTCATCTTCATGTGATCTCTATTTTTTGTAGGTAGAATCGAATAAAAATCGATTGTACATTCGATAAACAATTGATTTTCTAAAGCGTTTTTCTTTCTTTCACTCTTCCTTAAAATACCTTTATGATTCATACAAAATTGATTCGTTCAATTTACATTGAACTATAAATATTGTAACTTGTAAGTCAAAAAATCATTGATATATCCCTTTTATTTATTTTCCATATGACATCATTACAGGACATTTCAATGAGATGTAATTTCTTCAAAAAATTAACTTTTCTTGTCATCAAAAGAAACATATAAATATTATTATTAAAGTTATAAAAATATATTGATCAAAATAATTCGTGTATTTTTATTAGAAAAAAAAAAAAAAAAAAAAAAGAAAAAAAAAGAATCATGCTTTTTAGTTGATATTATCTGAAATTATTTCGTTAATATTTTACAATTCTGATTTATTTGGTCTATGATTTACTCCCTTGTCTTTATTTTTTTTCTTATCTCTATAGTACGTTTGTCCTTCAAGCATTACATGAGACAGCTCTGGTTGTTCTAATAAATAATTCTTAGCATCAACAGCTTGAGATCCTTCACGGAATAAGAAGACTGATCGTTTAGGATCAATTGGATATCTATAGTAATATATAAAGTTATATATCTTGTAAATAAGCTATCATATTTGTTTACAAATGTAGATTACCTTTCTGCTATGATATGATTGTTTTGTAGACTACTCTGCCAAATGCGCATTACAATTTCTGCTTGATCTTGTGAAATATCTTCCATTACATCCACAAACATCATAACACCTTTACCTTTTTTCGTCATTTTGAGAACATTATCAGGATTGGAGACATCTATCTAATAAAAGAAAATATCTGATATTCATTTTTGTATGATTTTTGTTAAGAAAAATGAAAAAAAAATATAATATTAATTCTGGTACCTGCGATAAATCTATTTTTGGACTTGGTCTAAGATATTCGGGGAGTTCATCTGGTGGTAAAGGTTCTTCATTTTCCTATAATATTACGATAATATATGAGACGATGTAAGAGACAATATTTATTACATTTAATTAAAATTAAAAATATATTTATTCCTTATTGACAAAGAAAGAAGAAAAGGTATAAAACGAAAAATTTTAATGCTCCGTATTATTAGTTGTTATCACACCTCCCATTGATCCAATAAATGTTCCAAATCTGCATCTGTCATATCTCTTATATCTTTATCACGCCATGATTTCTTTTTATTCTCATTCGAATCATTTGCATTTGATATAGCTAGGATTACTAATATACTGCAGAGGAAGACGTTTATCTTCATATTGATATAATTCCTCAAAATTAAAATTTCCTATTATTTATGAGATTATATTATTTCCTACAAATAAATATAAAAGTATTGTTTAACATTGATCAAAGAAATAACTTTCATTAACTTTATCTTTTTTAATTTTAGAAACAACGATTTGTTGATTTACCGGATAGAAAATACAAAGCTGGCATTCCAACTAATTTCGGCCATTGTGTCGGCCGAACTGTCATTGGTTATGTAACATATTTCACTTAGATGGTAAACGCAGTATTATCATTTTATCATTTATTAAATTCAATTGAAAGTTTAAAATAAAGAGTACCTAATATATATTTATTTTTTTTAAATAATATTTTACGCGAAGTCCACAACCACGAGAGAAAGTCCAAAAATTTTGCACTTTCTGTTAGGTATCCATGTTTAAATATTATTTTACCAATGACTATTCCTCTCATTTTCCCGCGATTACAAATTAAAATAAATTTTAATACGAAACTAATATATCCCGAATAAAATTGTTAAATATGTAGTTTGTACGAATCATTTGACATAAATACGCAAAAGTGTGATTTCTAAATATAACAAATATAACTAAAAGAATACATAATAACATATGTAACAATATGTTTTTATTTACGGTTGCTAAGTAACTGCTTTGTATATTAAGGTAATGCATCATATATTAATTAATTTTGATTGTTTTATTAATCATGCAACGAGTTTATTTATATATTAATGTTATATGATCCATGAATGTATATATGTTTATACCTTAGACAATATATATATATATATATATATATATATATATATATATATATATATATGTATATATAGTATTTTCATTTCAGCTTATGTACCTAGAGAAGATGGATCGATTAATAATTTACATTCATGTAGTAGTATGTTACAAACAATTGCGTATAAGTTAAATATAAATTTACAAAGGCTTTTATTTTTATTTCTTAGCAAGGATTAGATTGCAACGCGTACATGAGATACAACTATTTGCTTATAAATGGTAAAAGAAAAGGGATAGAAAGAAGCTTATCAAGAAGTTGTGTACAAGTGAATTCATTTCACAAATCAAAGACTTAGAATCATTAAGATGGAAGAGCAAGAATATATAACATGGATCGAGTGGATGTGCTATCAATTTTATTATAACGGAATGCTTAATCATGTCAAACAGGCATGTGATGCTTATCCAACGAGTGATCATCTGAAACTCTTGCTTAGTCTTACCTATTTATTAAATGGAAGGATACACGATGCTATTAAAGAAAGTGGCAGTTTAATGAATAACACAGAAGTTTCATTACCAGGATTGCTTATACAGAGTTTTGCACACAAAGTGAGCGCAAATGGAGAGAAATCGACGATAATGCAAATCGATATAAAAATCAGAGAAGAACGAAGAAAAGCATCAGCTACCGCACTATCATTGTCTGCTTTGATATTACTTTTGTACAAAAAGATTGATAAAGCTAAAGACTATGCTGATAGAGCATATAAAGTTAATCCTGTTGATACAAATGTCTTATTGGCAAAAGGTTGGGTGGAATTGTATATAAAGGAGGATAATCATACAAAGATAGATTATTTTGATACAGTTTTAAAAACACATAGTAGGCATTTTAATGCTCTCATGGGTACCGCGAGATATAAACAATATTGCGGAGACCATACAGGAGCAATATCGATATTGAATTCATTAATAGTACATTATCCCAAATTAAGCTTTCCACTGGTAGAAAAATTGGCTAATCAATTAGCTATGAAAGATTGGGAACAAGTACTTGAAACGGCTAATAGAATATTAACAATAGATTCTAATAATTTAGATGCAATAAAAGCTCATTGCGTCGTTGCCCTTTGCAAAGATGGAGAGTACAATGAAAGTTTAAAACACTTACAATTATTTTTGAGAAATTTAATTCTTGTAGAAGCAAAGAATGTTGATCTTTTCGTCAGAAACATAAAGTTATTTTCATCCATAGGATGTAGAAATGAAAATATACTGATGGAATTGTGTAAAGTAACTGAAAAAATGTTACAACAGAATTCTAATTGCGGAGAATTAATGGTTGAACTTGGGAATCTGTATGTTTTATTGGGAAAAACAAAAGAGGCTGAACATTGGTATAGGAATAATGCACGTATAGAGGAGTCATCGTTCCCAGCTTTAATAGGTTTGGCACATTGTCAATTATTAGATAATTCTGCAAACGCTCGAATTTTAGCCAGACAACAAATTGATTTTTTAATGGAGATTCAATCGACTTCGTTGAGTCCTAAATTATTGTTTATGTCATCGATACTTTGCGAGGATGATAAAAGAAAAGGACTCGAGTATTTAAACATGGCAGCTAAAGTTTTATTAAAGGATTGTGAATACATCTCTTATGGATATGAATACTTGACGAATTTAAATCCTGATTTATGCATGGAAATTGGAAAGGAACGTTTAACTTACTCCGTTTACGAGACATCATCCATGGATGAAGGAAGCTCTGAGGCCAAAAAAGAACCTCTTTTAGACTTATTAGAAATACTTGCAGAAGCGTGTCCTGGTTTAACCAATGTATTATTAATATTAAGTAAAATCGAAATGCAAAGTGGAAAACTAGAGAAAGCTCAAACTATATTAAAAAAACTTTTGGACTCCGTCGATTCTACAAATGCGCAGGGACATTTATTAATGGCACAGATTTTGGCATATCAAGGTCATTATCAATTAGCTGTACAAAGTTTAGAAGTTGGCTTGAGTTACAATTTTAAAGTTAGAGATGATCCGATTTATCATGTGGTTAATGGGATTATACAAAAAGAGAATGGAGATTTTGAAAATTGTATAAAAAGCTTTGAATCGGCCATGCTATGTGCAGGGTTGAAGCGAAATAAAAATATTACAGAAGTTAATCAAATTTCTATGCAAGATAAAGCAATGTTGTATCTTGAATTAATCTCTGCGTACAGTAAAATGAAACAATTTAGCGAAGCATTAGCACTGATGGAAGACGCGATAATAGTACTTCAAGGTACTGGAGAGGAAAGCAAGGCCACAATAGGATACGCAGACTTGTACTTGGAAATGGGAGAATTGGAAAAAGCAATAGAACATTTAGCAAAGGTAAAGCCAGATGAGCCTTATTATGTACAAGCTCATACGAAATTGGCTCAAATACATTTAAAGTACAAAAGAGACAGGGAAGCCTTTGCAAAATGTTTCAGGTACGTTTTTATAATTATTTTAATAATATTCTAATTTAACGGATTCATATTTTTCTACGCTCATATGTATCAATTTCGTACAGAGAATTAGTAGAAAACTGTCCTGGTCCTAAGACATATAGTATGCTTGGCGATGCATATATTTCTATACAAGAACCAGAAAGAGCCATCGAAGCCTACGAGCAAGCATTAAATCAAAATCCAAAAGACAAGGCAATAATAGCAAATAAAATGGGAAAGGCGTTGATAAAAACTCATCAATATATGGAGGCTATTAGTTATTACAAGGATATGATAAAACAAGCAGAATGTAAAGATTTAAAATTGGATCTTGCAAAATTGTTTATTAAAATGAAACAATACGACAGGGCTGAAGCTACTTTGTTGGAGGAATTGAGAATTAAGTATATTTGGTTATTAATTTTAATAACGAAACAACAACAACAACAACAACAACAACAACAACAACAACAACAACGATAGTAATTATTATAATACAAAAAAAAATTTTTTTTTAGATGCTCGATTTGAATCCGATTTGGAAAGTTTAGAAACTCGAGGACAACAATTGCTCTTACTTGCGAAAGTCCGTGAGAAAGCTGGTAATATACAAGCAGCACTTTCCGTGCTGAAAGAAGCTAAAGAAAGTCAAACGAGGTATATACAACGTCTTACCATGGGTTCGAGCGCAATTGAACAAAAGCATGTAGTAGCGGACATATGCGTGACGATGGCAGACCATGCATCTTCTATAAGAGATTACGATCAAGCGGTATTATATTATAAAGAAGCTTTGAGTTATAAACCAGCCGATATTAAAGCATTATTATCATTGGCAAAGTTATACATGCAGGTAATCGTATTGTCTTAATAATAATATCGATTAAGTAAATATACATTGTATTTGTCGAAAAATGTTAACTTGACAATAGAGTACTTAAGAGTATTATAATTTTTAGATAAACAACTTGGACAAATGTGCTCAAACGTGTACTACTCTTTTAAAGGCTGATCCAAATAACGAGGCTGCATCTGTTATGATGGCTGATCTTGCATTTAGGAAAGTTGATTTTGAAACTGCAGCATTTCATTTTCGTCAGTTATTATTACAAAAACCAATGTATTGGACAGCATTAGCTAGACTGATAGAAGTTTCTCGCAGGACAGGTTATATTATTTTTCATTAATTATTTAATTGAATGAAATGTTATATTTGCGATAATTTTTCGAATATTCTTATAAATCCTTTCAGGAAGTATGGATGATTTAGATGAATGGCTCAGTCAAGCGCAAACGGCAATGGAATCTAACAATATGGAGGCTGGTTTTTACTATTGCACTGGTTTATTAGACTGGCGAATGGGAAGATTAAATTCGGCTCTTAGAAATTTCAATTATGCGAGGCGTGATCCTGAATGGGGTCAACAAGCTATTTATAATATGATCGAAATTTGCTTGGATCCTGATGACGATTCTTCATTGTCTAATGAAGCTTTCAATGACGAAGATACGGAATATCAAGATTCAAGAACAATGGCCCTGAAAACTGCTTATCGTTTATTACAGGTATATTATTGCAAGGAGGGGGATGGATACGCACTATATTAAGATGAAAATTTATATTCTTAAAATTCGCTTTATCAGGAATTAAATCCAAGAGGTAGTCAACATGAGATGTTAACGCATCGGCTTCTTGGTAACTTCTTTCTTCTTGCTACGAAACAAAAATCAAACATCGAAAAAGCTTTGCAAGATTGTACAAATTTGGCCAGTCAAGAAGCACTAAGAGATCACGTTGGACCAGCCTTAGGCATGGCAACGGCGCACATCTTGTTAAAACAAACTCCTCGCGCCCGAAATCATCTTAAGCGTGTTAGCAAAAACGTTTGGACTTTCGAGGATGCCGAATATTTGGAACGATGTTGGTTGCTATTGGCAGATATTTATGTTCAATCGGGCAAGTATGATCTAGCAAATGAGCTACTTAAACGCGTTTTACAACATAATGCAACATGCGTGAGAGCTCACGAATTGTCCGGTTATATCGCTGAGAAAGAACAGAATTATCGGGAAGCTTCTCTGCGATATGCGCAAGCATGGAAATTCGGTGGTAAATCTAAATTATCGATTGGCTACAAATTAGCTTATTGTTCCTTGAAGGGAAAATCTTATGCGGATGCCATAGAAGCTTGCAACGAAGTATTGCGACAAAATTCTGATTATCCTCGCATTAGAAAAGATGTATTGGAAAAAGCTATTAACAATCTTCGCACTTAATCGCGTAAAAAGAAATAATTCAATAAATTATATATATTAAAAATATCAAACTACTTGTTTTGTTCTGTTTCGAACAAATCAAAATTATGACGGAGCAATAAAAAAGAAATATTTATTCAATTTTACGTTTCTCTTTTTTGTCTTGAGAAGAATGGCAAGCAACAATGCAAGTTCAATAGACCTAAAGAAGAAGGTAGCGTTAAAAGTATTTCGTCGCTAGCATTTGTTTTCGTCAAATCTAATGTACAAAACGCATATGTTCAAGTCGCTTCAGACGGAAGAAGAACTGTCATGGATTTCTTAGTGGACGACGATGAAAATATTGTCTTCGACGATACATCTGATGATCGCAATGTCTTACGAATTGTGGTTACCGAAGCTAGCACAGAAATCGCTCACGCTCTAATGTATCGAATTCTTTCTAACAACGTATTTGAAAATGATCAACTCATTTATTTAGTTGTTTACGAAACATTTGAGAAGGCATTATTTTTAGAAAGTATTGTAATAGAGCTTACGGAATTCAGCCCGGCTCAGCTCTATGGTAGTCAGCCTTTTGAGAAATTTTTATTGCGCAATTTTATTTATATATATATATATATATATATATATATATATATATTTTTTTTTTTTTTTTTTTTTTAAACGTTTCCTTCTTTCTTTGATATACATAGGAATTATTTGTACGCATGAGCCGTCGATCGCTTTTAAAGATGCGGACATTGTATTTTGTATTGGATTAGCAAGAGGATATGAATTTATGGACGAAGAGTATGAAGATTTATTTTTCGAGGAGTGTGCCTTAATTGCAAAATTTCATGTATCGATAAATTTTCACTTAAATTTGTATAATTGTATCTGACGATAACTTTTATTTTAGGGTGAAACCTTAGAAAGATATGCAAAGAGAGATGTAAAGGTAATTGTTCTCGGAAATATAACAGCTACTATTATTTCGCATTATGCGAAATCTATTCCTAAGAAGAACTTTACGTCCTTAACGAAATTAAACGTGAAAATGTGCGCGGCACATGTTAGCTTTCCCTTTTCTATATATTTCATAATCAGTAATATGTAATTATTTTTCAATATCGCCAGAGATATTTTATTGGATTTCTAGATAGCAGCGCGAACTGGTTGTCGTGCCGATCAAATTAAAAATATTATCTTATGGGGTACCGATAATAAAAGTACGTTTCCCGATTGTAGGTACATGTCTTTTGAAAAAGATGTGATTATCAATGACTGTTTACGTGCATGGCTAAAAGTAGATTTACCACGGGTATGGTTAAATCATCGATAATTTACCATCGGAATGCATACAATTGTTAGAATATTTGATATGTGAATGTTGATATTCTTAACTAGATACTGAGAAATATATTGAATAGATCTTGGTATACCAGATCGCTTGCATATGCACTTGCAGAACATTGCAAATTATTGTGGTATGGGACGGAACAAGATGAATGGACTTGCATGGGTGTATACTCTGATGGTTCATACGGTGTTCACGAGGAAATATTTTTTTCCTATCCAGTATTTTGCAATAACAAAGAATACGAGATCGTTCAAGTATCAGATATTTTTTTATTATCCATATATTTCAGAGAAATTTCAATATTATTTTACTTATAATTTTTATTTTATATACAAGGGTCTGCTAGATGGCAATTCATTCGTCCAGCGACAAATAGAGAAAATAAGTGAGTTCCTGTTGTTGAAGATTCGTGCTGCGTTTCGTATTTGCAATTCGAAGTAAAACATATCGATTTACTTCGATGATAAGAGATATATCCTGTTTATTCATTCCTATGAGCATTACATATAAATGCTGGAACACTTCATTTTACTTTTTTCTCTAATACAATTATCCGATTAATGATCCTATAGTATATATAATAATATGCTTTCTATATAATTAATTCAATTCACATTTCGAAATACTTTCAATTTTCAAAACTGACTGAAGATCGTTTGTGCTATGCCGTTATACATACGACAAATGTAAATTTTACGACATCATATGAATGCTTTCACGCGCACGATATATTTCTGGTCATGAAATATGTCAGCGAATTACAATATACTTACTTTCAGCTAAATGCTCATTTATTTATTGGTCCTTTGAATTTGGTACCGGTCGCGCACCGATTGCACCATTTTTATTTGATTTTATTTTTAAAGATCCAGGTACATTATTTGCGTGGCTGAGATAGCCCCAAAGGCCGCCAAAGCGCTTGCTACGCAAACCACTGCAGTTGTTGTCCCAGACACGCTAACTATAGTTCCGAGGCAGCAAGAAAGGAAAAACTGCGCTAAGAAGACCATTGAAGAAATGATGGCGACGTCAGTACCAAGACCACGAACGCCGCCACTTTGAATAGCTTCTCCTTCGACCGTAATTTCGAACTACAAAGGAGATGTTGGAACATTTGCATTTTCTTTTCTTCTCTTTTTTCTTTTTTTTTGTCTTCATTAAAAACTCATACTCATACTCACCGTCGACGAAGCATGGTAATGAGCAACTAATAAATAAGGCATGGTAAATAAAGTGGAGTACATAACACCAGCCGTCCAAGAGAATATTATCACGCCAGCAGGATGTTTTATGATAGCCATCAACATCATTCCACTACTGTAAAACAACAGGCCACAAATGTACACTTTGCGAGCTCTGGAACAAAAATGCAACGAATCATCATTGCTGAATTGATTCGGGTCTTGAGCGGAGCTGAAATTGTTTTACTAACTTGTAACGTTTTATTAGCTTTTCGATGATCAACGAGTAACACGAGCAGGATAAAGAATACATGGACATTCCCCAACATCCAAAACGAACACCTCTTTCATATAATTCTCGTTCTTTCGTCCCATCAGGAGCCTATAAATAAATAATAGATTTAACGATTGCAAATATTTTAATATTATAATCGAACAGATCTACTTTTCTGATAGACCTTACATTTTTCTTACGCGAATTAGTGGATAAGAAAATTAGCGGTCGATAATGAAATTCTTAACCTGAGGATTACCGCCGTAAACAGCTTCGCCAACGAAGTCAGTGAAGTATAGAGAATAGCATACATGTGCCATCCAACAGAAAAGATTGGTCAAACAGACCATTCGAAGACTATGAGGCATATAAACGATAGACATAAGGTATTCTCTCAAAGTAACCTTCGGATCATGTTCTACATCAATTATTTCATATTTCGTTTGACTCGTATCTTGAATGGGTATATCGGGTATAATCGGTACCTCGCCTGGTCTTTTGATGGATTCTTGCACTGGAAGTGGCTTTAACGCGAATTCCTGGAAAATATGTGAGGGTGAAATTATAAAGAAAAGAAGGAAATTTCCCCTCGCGGGGAATCACTCACATCGTTTTTCGTCATATGCGCATCTTGCTCGTTATCAATTGCACCATACGAGGTACATTCTTCACCAGTTATTTTATCGTACTCATTTCCTTTGGATTCTACGGTCTAGAAAATGTTTACAGAATAAGTTTGAAACGAGATCGAGATCAAATAAATTTTTACGATACCTTTTCTTCTTGAATTTGCTGATATTGGTCCCTTTCAAGTACTTCCAAAGGAATCTCTTTGAAACTCGTAATGGTAAAAGCCACGCATATTATGAAAATGATAGTGATTAATGTGAAAGTAGCATGAAGGTGTCCTCCTAACATAATCCCAATCGCCGTAGCATCCCAATTGATACCACCTAATCCGTATCCCATGAAACCACCAAGTCCCGCCATTATGGTAAATGTACTCAATCCTCTGGCATGATCCTCTATATATAGATTTTAATGATTGACTATGCCATATGTAAATATTACCAATGAATTCAATCTTATCATTTTACCAGGGATAGTAACATCAAGAAGATAAGCTCTGGCTGGACTTTGACAAGCGTCGGCATCGAAATCAAGAAGAACTGTGCCCAAGATAGTAAAAAATATACCCCAGGAATGTGAAGATGGTTTCAACGTTGGTACGTCATCATCCTTTGATGATTTCGCCGTCGTTCGATGACCTATTGGTATCGTATGATTGCTCCACGATGAAATGTCACCGAACGCATAACCCATGTTCTCGCCATTTGGCACCAAAATTAATCCTGACGTGTGATTCAAAAGAAGATAATCATTATTAAAAGCATTGATTTATCGCAAATATTCCCGAGATATGTGACTCTCGGAAGTTAAACCGACATTATTCGACTGTTTGTAAATTTCATAATATGATCGGTTTAACTTTCGAGAAGGTCACATATAATTTGATCATTCACCTATCAGAACTCCAATCGCTAACAAAAGAATGAAGGGTCGTCTTCTACCATATTTTAATCTGCAACGATCGCTAACGCTACCCAAGATCGGTGTAACGAAGAAACCGACGAGAGGGCTCAGAGCCCAAACCAACGTCATATGCTGATGATCCACACCGATTTTCAATAAAGTAGGCGAAACGAAAGCCGTCTCGGCGGCGTAAGAAAATTCAATTCCCATGACGGCTGCGGAAACTCGTACCAATTCGCGGCGTGTTTTCTTTCTATACATTTTTTTTTAATACAAATATTATATTTTCATTTTCTTTTTTCTTTTCTTTCTTTTTTTTTCTTTTTTTCTTTTTCTTTATCATAAAACGAACGATACATGATACACATATGTACCTGTAAATATGAGCATAATCGTCTAAGGTTCTTTCCAATTTGGGAGGACCACGAAGATGATTCAGGACACCCGGTAGGCCTTGATCGAGAGGTAGACTGCTTTTCCATTCTTTGAAAAGGTCCCATCTCTCCTTTACTTTATCACGTACGTCGTGAACTCTACCAGCGAAACCTTCGTATTCGTGCAATTTATCCACCATGGTTCACTGTTCAAGCTCGACGACCACTTTTGATAATAACTCAATCGTGAGTTTGTCCTTTCATTATCACGAAGGATGGAAGAACGAGCACGTTTGTTCAAATGTGCGCATCGATATTGAATTTGTTTAATTACGGATTATTCGATCCTTTGCTCGACTTGATTATACACGCCGCTAGAATTTGATTTTCAAACGTTACGAAACTTTCTTTTTTCCTTTCTCTTTTGCTTCTTTCTTCTGGCACGTACAAAACTTGCGTAACACACTGTCGAGAAGCGCCGCTCGACTGACATCACCGTAAACTTGCTACCGCGAAAGCTCCAGCGAAAGCTCTCCTCTTTCTCTTCCTCTCCTTCTCCCTCTCCCTTAGCCTTACCCTTACCCTCTCTCTCTCTCTCTCTCTCTCTCTCTCTCTCTCTCTCTCTCTCTCTCTCACACACTCTGCTTAGAGTTCCAGCGTTCTCACCACCTTCCACTTTCACGATACAAATTCACCTCGCTCAGCTCTGAAATACAAGTTGAACTTTTAGTAACTGACGAAATTAGCTTTATTCGTATGAATGTAAGCTTGTCTATTCGAAAATTAACGGGAAACGAAATCGAAATCATTTACCAAAGATCCAAAGCATTTCTCTGCTAGAGAACATTTTTAAGTACTTTCTAAATGTCACTTTATTATATGTATACATGTAATATATCTATCTAGTTGATGTATTCTGTATACGTTTAGTTTATTACATATATGTTCAGTATTGTTGTATTATCTATGTTATATATGTTGTATTATCTATACATTGAGTGTATGGATGTTTAGTTATGTGTATTTAGAAAGCTATGTATATGAAGAAACGAGTTTCATTCGCAACCTTCGACGTTCGAAGGCTTTACTATAGGACGTAAATATAATTTCCTCCTCCGGAAATTATGTATTTGCATTTAGTTTGCTTGATGTTCTTTTCTGCAAGCTATTTTCATTCGTATGTAGATATATAGTAATAATTTTATCGGTGCTTGATGCTCGAAGAATTTTTAAATATCCTTGTAATGTAATTTTTAATTCAAATACATATCTCTTTACGAAATGAATGAGAATAGTATTAATTTTAAATGCTATATTGCCTTTAAACGATATATTAGAATCCATAAAAAGAGATAGAGAGAAAGAGAAACTTATTCGATGATGTATTGAATCGATTCAACTATAGCAAGCTGTCAGTCGAAAGAAGTCTTACTAAGTAGGTCTTGTTGCGTAGTTGGCCTTGGCAAAAAGCTCCGTATTACAAGCCAGTTCGATATTTAAAGACAGCATCTTATTTCTTCTATATCTTTGACTTTAATTAGAATTTTCACGAAAGTATAAATAATCGATAAATCGTCCAAATAGCGATATTATTGGAATGACACGAACTCCATTGTATGATAGTAACTGAATTTGATTAAATCAAATCTTGACAAGCGTATAATATTTTTTATATGCGTATCGATTATTATTAAAAAGTTCAAATTATATGAAATTTCTTGCAAAATCTGTATCAATTTTCTTTCTACGCAAAATGGCCAGACATTCTTTTTACATCATTCTTTGGGGAAAACTCGCTGTTTCGTCTTTATTTAAAAAGAAAGTAAATACTTTAGAAAAAAATTGTTCGAGAGGAATCCTCTAATTTAATGCAGATAATTCTTCTATTTTATGGCGAATCCTTTGTGACTTGTTGTACATGAGTTGTTATATGCTCTGCTTTTTATGTGTGTGTATATATATATATATATATATACACACACATGTAATTGTTTCATGCATAGTAGAATTATAATAAAATAAAACGATTAAAAATGTAAAAGGAAAGTTAGGAGATGAAATAATTGTTCGATTTGAAAACATTACCTGATTGCAATAGTTACAGCATTGCTATTATCGCTGTAACTTCACAATTTTTACTTGGAATATTTTCGAAATATTCTAGAAACTATGTAATTTCAAAAAATGTAAGAAAAACAAATAAATGTTTTGGAAGTTACGTACAAAAGAAAGTTATGTACGCCGTTAAGCTTTGGATATTATTATTTGATGTGTCCGCGCGAGAGAACTTCTACAAGATATTGTTCCTCATTACTACAGGATCTAGAATCTCTATTTATTTGCCTACCCGGTTCTAAATAATGTAATATTTAATTTAAATTTACCTCAAATCAACTTTTGTTAAGTTGCTTGTTTACTATTTTTTCTTATGTAATTAATAATGATTAACTGTTCCAATCGAAAGAAAAACGGTAGCTTTTGGGATATGTTTGTCAAATGTTTACGTATTTTTGATATGTGATATGATTATCTCCGAGTAAACTCTTAGTAAATAATAGACATATACAAACTATCTGTAACAGTGAACTATCTATCTTTATGTAGCAATATTACAGAGAGAGAGAGAGAGAGAGAGAGGGAGAAGGAGAGAGGGGTTCAATCAAGAAAGAACATGGCCTTAAATCCGATTTGCTTGTTTATCACAAAAAGCTTCGAATGTCTCCATCCACTAGCAATCTTCGAGCAACATTTCTTCCGATCAAGACAAAAGCTCGGGGATAAAAGCTAGTACAGTTTATTCAACGCATTATCGTTCTATCAAATTGTTTTCCTTTCTTTAAATCTTCGAACGTCGATGGAAGATTTGGGTGTGTAACGACTTAGATATATTTACAATGACGAAATATGAAAATCTTTCCAGATTCCACGAACTTTACAAATTTAATTATTATTATAGTTCCGATCATCGGATTTATTCGCTACCAATTCGCTCATTAATTA